AGTGTTCTCTCTGTGGTACCACTCATTTGAGCATTGTGATTTGCTGTGATTAACGCCTTTATTAATTGTTCATTCTTTTTTAATGTTACCCGGATGGACAGTGCTTTTCACCTACTAAAAGTCTGGTTATCCAGCGTCTTTGGCACACAGCCCACATGATTTTGAAACTATATAAGTGAGATGCATCACTTTATTTCACTTGATAAGACTCATGTTGGCCTCTGGACCCAATTAGGATTTAGATTTTCTTTTGACATGAATGCACAAAAGTGATAAATTATTGTGATTGTCAATTAGAATTACCTCGTTGAAGATTTGGAGATTGGCAGCTTGTTCCCTTTTCTAACTTCTCTCTGTGGCTCCTCTTTTGTTCCGTTATCATTTGGCAAAAATGTCAAATCTGCTGTCAAAAACAACCCACAAAATGATCCATCCGATGTGGGGAAGACTGATTCCACTAGTATACTTAAATGATCAATATAATGAAGTTATTACAGAATTTAAAAACGTGCTTAAAAGTCAACTATATGTTCGTATGTTGATGCAACACTACCTTAAAGTAGCTGTCCATGCCCTAGTTTGTAATACCCTTTGTTGTTCTGTTTGAAGGTGATTTCTAACTTAATTTCTCCTAAACATTTTCATTCAGCGGCATCCTTTACACATATCTCACACTTCCTTGGGGGAATTCAGTTTTCTTGGATGATGACATTGCCTATAATAAGGTTCAGCGCGCACTGGCTTTCCTATCAAGCCAATCCTCTGCTGCGGCTTAAACTGAGATGGGTCTCTCACCCAGTGGGTCAACTGAGATGAGCATGGCACAGACCCGACATCCATTCACCCCCAAATGGGTCGATGATGCACAGCCATGGGGCTCCAGCACATCGCCCTGGAGTGTCAAGCAGAACATCACCCACTGACGGCCCTGTCAAGGTCATCAAAGAGAGCGCTGGTCCGGACATGTGCCGTCAGAGTGAGAAAACCGCCACGAGCGTGCATGAGCGACGGACCGAGGAAGTCTCCATAATGGCAAAGACGCTGGAGGTCAGATTTATGTTGTACTCTCCATGCAGCAGTACACTTATCAAACATGGCACAGTCCAGAAAAATACGAGAGAATAAATGTGAGGACATGATATAGAGCAGTGGTCCTCAACTGGTCAGGCCTCGGGACCCACTTTTTACTTTGTCAATAAATCGCGACCCAACATTTTGAACCACTCAAATCTATTCAACAAAAAATCGTGCTGTAATATACGCTTTTCAGCATACAATATTAATTAAAGTGAAGTACAGTGCATACATCCCTTATATCCCTTCACAGAACTAAAGTATGCTTTAAAAAAAGGTTTAATGAGATGATGGGATCAAAGCTGAACTGTATCACATACAAACGTGACATGCTGAAAACCCAACCCCAGGAGATTTTTAGAAATACTAACATAAACTACGCATTCTGGTACTCTGAGAAGAAAATAAATAAATATATTACAACCCGACATTTTAATAATATTTCATGCCATTGTTTGTTTTTCACTTTGTTCTGACAGCTGAACTTGTCTGTGTGAGTTACTTTGTGGGTAAGGGTAGATAGCCCCCATTGTTCTGCGACCTGTCAATCATCAAACCGGGGGTCATATTTCATTATGTGTTCATTTGTATCTGAAGTTGTACCCATGGATGTATAAAGAGTAGTTCTACCGCAAAGTTATTCTCCGTGGGGACTTCCGGCAACAATCTTGATTCTGATTGGCCAGAAGACTAACATCAGCAAATATGTTTTATTGAGAAGATGATCACTACGTGACAGACGTTTTCAAAACCGTTCATGGTCTCCGGTACTTCCAGTCCAACGCATACTGCATGCACAGCGTTAGGAAATCGGGCCTTCAAAATAAAAATAAATCACTTTTTTTCCCCTCACACATCCGTGACCCATTCAACACCAGTTGAGAACGACTGATATAGAGGACTGTCAAAGCACAGCAAGTCTTTTCATTCAATCCTTCTGCTGCACTTCATACGCAACACTATGCAAAACCACTCTAGATAAATGTGTTATGGTTCTACATTAGTCTGAGGCCATTAACATAACATGAAACGTAGACTTTCCATTATGAACAGAAAGTCATTTTCTTAAAAGCCACTCCAACATAATTGAGCACCACCACATACAACTGCTTCTGAATGGAATCATTTTTTCATTAAAATCCATTTAGTAACTGTGTAGGATATTTTCGAAAATGGCTCATTTCTTAAAATTGTCTATTTTGTTGACCCTCTTCCAAAGTTTATTTGCATTGTTTATCCAGCAGTCCAGCTGATTGTTATGTTAAGCTGAACATGTAGCTTATCTTAAAAGTAGCTCACAGTGTTGGTTCAGTCATCAACATTCAGTTGGAGTCTCCCAGATGTCTTGAGTTCTCTGTATCTACTGTTTCTTCACTCATTATTTGCTCTCCCTTTTACTTAAATCTCATGTATTTCCCAAATTCATTTTTCTTGTCCCCATAGAGTGGCGAAGTCACGCCCATCTACTTCCGCCCCATGGGACCTTATTTCTGAAAAATGATGTATTGAAGTCAATGGAGAGAGAAAACGTATCTTTCGATCCCGTTTGAATTGTGCCATGAATTACACATATGATGTTTGTCAATCTTAAAAAAATCATTTCTATGTAAAAAAAAAAGGAAAAAAAAGTCACAGTTTGTCGTAAAACTGTTGAAAAATACGCAACTAGAAAGTATACAAATCCCAGAATCCCGGTCCCGCATGCTGGCTCTTATGGAACCGACTAACTCCCCTTGTGTGTACAGCTCTCAACATGCCCAGACTTGGAGTGGTTTTCACCTCTTTTAACACTTTCCGCCTCATTCTGAAAGAAAGAAGTGAGATGTTCCAACGTGACGGCCGTCTTGGTGTGTGGTGCGAGACGGGAGATGTAGCTCATTGAGTGCTTCACACAAAAAAAATGTGTTCACAGTTTTACGACACATTTTTATTTTTTTGACTTGCAAAATTATCTTTTAAATTGACAAACATCATATGTGTAATTCGTTGCACAATTCAAACGGGATCAGAAGATAATCTTTCTCTCTCCATTGACTTCATTGCATGATTTTTCCGAAATAAGGTCCCATGGAACTCCACCGGAAGGGGAGGGACTTCCTCTCTATCTTATTAGCAACTTTTCATCCTTCTTGACTTTGTCATTATTACCCATTTTTTCTTGTCCCTCTGCTCTCGATAGAGCTCTCAAATTTGTGTGGGTTTTCAAATCATTCTCTAATTCTCTTTGCCATTTTCCTGTTCTCACCCCATCTCTTTCCATTTCGCCCTACGGCTCCTGCTCCCTCAACCTCATGTCCTTTCAAATCTCTCTTTTCATTTGTCTGGCTCCCGTCCTCCCTCTGCCTCCCTCTCTCTCTCTCTTTTACATACTCCTGATGCGCTCCTGCTGGCCCCGGTCTGTCCGAAGGGATTAATTGATAGTGAGAGATAATAAATCTTCCCATTAGGTACAAGGCCCCTGCCCATCGCTCATTATGCGCCCACTGCTCCTCAACGCTGTGGCCTGGGGTTTCCCCTTGCTTTCTCAACAGGCACGTCTGCCATCAGTAGCCAGCAAGGTTAAACTCTGCCTATTGCAGTCGATGGCTACTTCACGTCACGACACATATTCAGTCATGAACACAATTGAAGGCACACACGTTCATTCCTTCCGCTTTTTCTCTGTAGTTTTGCAATACTCAGCTTTCTGAAGCGACTGTTATTTTTGATTGTTTTGCTTTCATTTAGGTCTTAATGTGTGCATGTGTATAAATGTATCTTTTGATTGTGTATATATAAGTATATACGTATTTGCATATATATTTTTATATATATTTGTTTTATATTCAGGATTGTGGGAAACGGTATTTCGATCTCTCTGTCTGTGCACACACAGACATATTGACAATAAAGTTTACTTTGACTTTCGACATAGACCTGAGTGGCTTTACATCCAGCTGTTGCATGCTTGCTGTTTCTATACTTGTATATTTGTTTTCTCAAAATGTAAAAACAAAAATAATCCTTGCTTTTTAAAAAGGCTCTTCTTCTTATAAGGCAGTGTATGTTACCTCGGAAAGGTTTCATGGTTCTGAATAACTCTGTGTACCTGTCCCTGAGACACTTTTGAGAGATCTTTTAGATGTTCAGCCTTCAAAGGTTCCTTCTTTTCGTTTATTTGGGCACAGAGAGCTGCCATATGCATTAGTCTGTTTTGAAGTTACCGACCTGTATTATGCTACCTACCCAGGCAGCTGTTTGCTCATCTCTTCTCTAGTATCTAAATCATGTCATTGTGAGTTTTGTAGTATAATCTGTTTTGCTTTGTTTGACCTTAATATGTGGCAAAACATATTGTCGATAATAATCACGCTTATTAACCAAGGCGTGTGTTTACCATGTTTGTGTGCCCCTTCAATTTGACTTTCAGTCACATAATGCTGCTCCCAAAAGGGAAAATACTAAATAGTTTGGCATTCAACAATTGGATCAGCATGATATGTTTTAAACAAAACATTGCTTGTTATGTGTACTTTATGCACAATGGGATATTTAATCTGAATGCAAGCGGTGCACAATTTGGGAATCTTAGTTTTCTTCAAAGTCAATGATTCTAAAATTGTTATTATGGTCCATTACATTTGCTTGCTTTTAATGATTCACTGTGCTTTTGATGTTCATTGGTTGTACCTTATATTTAGATAGTGCTGTGATCCCTGCTGTCATTGATCAAATCTTATCCACATTAATCTAAATGTATCATGTTGCTATAATCCGGTAATAAATGGTAATGGTACATTTAGCCTAAAAACCTAATGATTGCTTGATTGTAAGACTTACAGGGCAAATGGTAAATATCCAACGATAAGGAACTCACATTTCACTACCATGCCAAATGTTCATGTTTTTTGCAGGGTGACAAAACGCCAATCAATCAGTAGGGGAGATAACGTTTGTATTTTTTATTTAAAATGTCATATAACCCATACAGCAAACTGTACAATTGAATTATTCACAATGTGTTAAAAAGAAAATAATTCAACACCTTTTCTATAATATTTAGATTCATGTCCCCATGTTCTACTCGGATGTCAGTCTTTCTAATGTTCTCTTAACACATACAGTTACTAGGAAAACAAGATCGTTTTCCCCCCTGTTTTTTTACAAAACCTTACAAAAACTATATTCATAGAAATTCTGCATGTCAACAAAGAAAACCCTGGTTGGTACCAACATATGTATCGTATTGTTCGAGAGGTTTTCTGCCAAATAATATAAGCTGTGCAACTAAAAAGAAAGGTATACATAAAAAGGCATACTGTTGTGACTGCTGGAAAATCTAAACTCATAATCACACACTTCTAATGGAACACAGGATATGTAGCTTACATTTTGAATTACTTTTCTCTCACATTTCATACCATTTTTGTGTAAAATGACATTATTATTCACATTAATTTATAAAAAAGATGTATATATTCAGTAACCAAACTGACTGAATCAGCCAAATCCGAAACCCTGTTGTAATTCCAACAAATGTTGATTATAATGAATTTTTCAATTATTTTCACATATTACAGAGGTGACATACAAGCAAACTTGAGTCTTTGAATCACCTCCATGGAAAGCTACAGTACACATGAGGGTAACAGCAACGTCTTGTAACCACGAGTCAGCCGCAGCCAAAGACAAGGTCCTAATTGGATAAGAGCAGTAAAGGTCCAGTTACACAAGATAAACCCTAAGTCTCCCTATTCTAAGAGTGTCCCCTAAATTCTTTCCATTTCACGTTCACCTTGTAGAAATATCGGTCATCATAAACGAGGATTTACATAGTTTTCCAACTGGATGATAGTTATCCAATATACTATTATATAATGCATTTCCATTAAATAAATAAAAAAGGTTTGGGGCTGTGGAACTGGGGTAAAGTGAGGAAGTAGGTTAAAGTGACCTCTCTAATGAAATAAATAGCATCTAGAACATATTTGACTGTGAACAGAATTCATTTATAACAGTATAAATTTAGCAAAATACATTTTCTCCTGCTGATCTTATCTACATACTCTACTCTGCAGAAGGGAATCGATAGACAATTATACAGTGGATCTCTACCAAACCAATGCTAACTTTTACAGATTGGACTTTCCTTGGATCATAGATAAGTGTTTTTTTGACTCAACGTATCGACAACGTAAACCTCACAGAGGTTTGCTGGTCGTTCGGCCCCCAGCTGACAGACTCCTCAATCTTCTTACGGCATGACATTTGCTGAAGATATACACTTACTCAAACGGCATGAAAGTCAACATGACCACACAAAATCATCATATCTTATCTATTCATCACATTATCGTTCAGCATTTTCACGCACTACACATATAGATTTATTCTGTCCACGTTGGGAAATTAAACAGAAAAAGCTTGTGACTTTCAAGTCTGAGATAACCTTCAAAATGTGTTCACAGTTAAAACCAAACCCTCTTAATCAGTTGCATGATGCTAAACAATCTGTTTCCTGCCAAAAAGCATTAATCACACAAATTAAGAAACTGTTGAAACAAGTTTTCAGAATGAGTTTGGATGTTAAATAATCCTGTCGCCACACATGGACTAGAATGTTGTTTTATGGATATGGCACCAATAAATGTACATTTAATACAAAATAAAAAAAGTTTGGAGGTCACAGTATCTAATCTTTTTGTCTCTGTGACCTAATATATTTTTCTGTGTATTTATAAGTACAGACCTGTTACCATTTGATCAAAGATTAACAAACAAATGTTTAAAATTGGTTTATGTTCTCAGTATTTAACAGATTTTTTGGAAATCAAGATCTTTTCGTTATGTTTTGTTGTGTTTAGGAGAGATGTTCTATTTCAAAATCCTTTTTTTTCTCCTTATGCTTCCTATGCAAATATTGTTGTCAACAATCATTTCAGATGGCAAGTAAAATACACTGCCACAATTAACATTTGCTTTGTATTAATATTGCCTTGCATGGTTGGAAAAACTGCTCCCCTTAGTCCCATTTCAACCATTCATATTGACTTTGCATTGAACACAATATTAGCGCTCTATTAAAAACAAGGTGAGCAGGAACTGGCCTGAACTGTACTGAACCTAGTTATGATGAATATTCAAATCTTTGGCAATCAATATTTTATCTAATTTCATTATGTTAAAACTCCTTTTGACATAGAATGTACTTTTGCTGAAATCAATCTCTGCATTTATAATGAATTGCTTGTGTGTTACAATATAGTTAATCAACTCCAACAGTTTTGACTCTCCATGGGTTTCCAACAGCAGCAATACTGCAGATACTCTTCCAGCAAACCAAAACATCTCGTCTCATAACCTGTAGCCTATGACTCAAAGATAACCATTGAAGCCTCGAAAACATGTTTGAGGCAACATTATTTACTGCCATCAAAAGCCATTTGGAAGCTTGTATAAAACAGGATGAAAGTAGGAACTTTTTTTATCATTTAATTGTGGGGCAAAACTGATCACCAACTAAAACTGCTCTTTGTCCTCCATGTATATCTGATTTATTGCCATTCTTAACACCGCCTTTCTTCTTGCTTTTGTCCGTATTTCGTCAGTCTTTTCACTGTTTCCTTGAACAGTCTATATTTTTCTTGTGTTTCTGTGTTGCGCACGTAAACATCAGACTTGAAACTGATCATTTGGGTAAACCGATTTCCCCCAGCCTCTTGCAAATATTACTTTTACCTCTTGTGGTTTGGAATACAGTCGTGAATGTTGTCATACCTGTGTGGCTGAGGCTGCCATTTTGAGATGCCCATGTTTAGTTAGTGTCCCCATGTCATTGTGGTTAATGGTGAATCTGGTTATCCCGTCTATGCCATTGTCTCTAGTCTCTGGTACCCCCCCTGACACGCTGCTCAGGAGGCTCTTGCCCTGGGGGGAACACATTGTCACGGGAACACGGGGGTCATCCCAGTGCTGCAGCTCATATTGTCCTTTCCCGGGAGTCGGCGGTCGTTGTAGGCATGCATGTTGATCACTGCATCCGTCTTCACCATGACTGGAGGCTGAGGCTTGTGTTTCACCCGCCTCTCGTAGGTGAACGACAGTCTGATCTCGTCCACCATGACACTGCACAAAGACCTCTGGGTGAAAAGGGAGGATGAGGGGAGGAGAGCAAGAAGGAGAAGACGGGAAAGGGACGGGGGGGGTAAATGCCTTAGCTTTAAATTGTTCTGACAGCAGTGAGCGTTGACAGTCTAAAGAGCACAACATGCATTAGGTCGTTACAGATGGTGTGTGCGCGCCCATGGCTGTCAGCAAAATCAAATCTCACCAGCACCCCACGTAGTCTGGCCACGGTTCAATATTGCTCCTGGGAGTTAAGGAGTATGATGCATGAGCATGCGTGCAACTACTTACTTTGCATGATTCAAATGAGTGATTATGAACAGTTAGGAGTTCATGCTATTCTGACATCTCCAATGACTAATAATGGATTAATTCTCTATGCTCCAATTTGCAATTATGCCTGATAAAATAAGCAAATGTTGTGGTGTTATGGCTCAAGTACTCATAGGGATTATCCACAGGAATGCAAATCCCTTTATAACGTGTTTGAACTAAAAACCATGAGTAGAGCACGGCGTTGGGTTAGAGGCTATGTTGAATAAGTGTCATAACAACAAAGGCATGGAAACTTCGACGCTAAAATCGAGGCTGAATAAAACCGAAATCCTAGTGGAGCGTAATTAAATGAACGTTTGACTTGTTTTCCATCCATCTGAAACACAACATAAATATGAAATAAAGAACATTTCTCGCGTGTAATTTATCGGGATATATACCTGGTCATGTTCTGCAGTCTTCCTTAGCTTGTAGAGGAATTCAGCAATCGCCACAAAAATGGAGAGCACTAGTCCACATGCCAGCACGATGAATAGCCCACCCAGGTTATGAATACCCAAGGGGCCTGTCTCGTGACGCTCTTCGTCTAAGCAGCTGCTCACACTCCACCACTTCTGCCTCAGCATGTGTAGGCGCCCGTCCTCCAAGATGTTTAGGATTGCCATGGTGATTTTGTCCCTGTACGGGGAGCCTGAAAGCAACATAAGGCCCGTTTTACTTTGGCAGAAACACCAGCTGGATTCTGTGATAATAAGGCTCATAAACACGGTTTGGCATGCTGTCTGACTGGTTTCTAAAAATGTATTATGATGCTGCATTGTCTAAAAAGCAATTACTCATCCTCATCCTTCTAAAAGGCAACAGAAAACCTATACAAAAGCGGGGGATTTTTATATTGCTCGGTGTCTCAAATGTATTTACATGTCTTACCTTGGGGGGTGCCGATGCCGTAGCCTTTGCTGTCGATGAGCCCTCCCACCTGGGTCAGGTTACAGTTCCTCCGAGTAATGTAATCAATAGTTGCAGACTCCATAAGGAGGGCATAGTCTGACTTCAGCACTCTCTGAATCCCATCTTCAATAGACTTTACAAGGGAAGTGCTCGGCTTGCTGCTCATAAAGGCCCACATCTTCTCAAATGTAGAAACCTTGGATTTCTGTAAGGGATGGAAAGATCTAGGTTAGATATGTGAATTTAAACATACACCTCACTGCAAGTGAGAAGAACATGGTTAAATTATACAATGCTATTACCACTAAACAGAGGTTGAGCTCGAACAAAATTACCATTGACCAAATAGATTTATATGATTACTTCTACAGATCTCCATCGTCACAGGATTACAGGGAAGTAAATTGAAGCTTTGCGCACATCTTTTCTCATAAGTGCTACCCAAGCAGCAATAATAGAATGCCTCTCCATTCGTCTTGCATCAGGCTTTGTGGTATTTCATGCCATTTTATACGAGGTCACATTCATGCCATGTCTAATCGTAGATAATTACTGTCTAAAGACTATAAGCCATTTCAAATTGTGAAAGATGCCATTATAATAAGCCCCTCTTTATGTGGAACTACAGTAGGTTGCTTAAAACTGAGATATAATGGTCCGATATTAAAACTTAAAAGCACCAATTAAAATGTATAGCAAGAGCTGCCAAGTTGGCATCTTTGTCTCTAGATTTTAATGATATTTTTGTCACTGTCCAGATGGAGAAGAAGAGGTCAGGAAGGAACATGTACAGCTAAGTACAGCTAAGTGTACACAATGGCATGCTGTACAACCACCAATTTCAAAAGCCTATGCTAGATTCAGGGATATTTGTCGGTGGTGGATTTAGCAATGATCCATATCCACTATAGCAACCAGTCTCCACGTCTGGCTCATTACTAACCATCTATAATAGACTCTGCTCAAGCTATACATTAATATCACATTTGAGTGTAATCTATGGCAAAATCAAAGACCGTTTAGTTTGTCACTGACACATGAGTTTAGAACCAAACCCATCCAGTTTCATACATCTGCAGCGCATTCATCTCCTCCCCGGTCTCCTCAGTATTTATCATGCTTCTCCGCCTCATTGAATCGGCATCATTAGGCCTTTCTGTAAGTGCAATGGGGAGCAGAGGGCACTTGAGCCATGCTGCTCTGATGAGGTAATTAAACACCTGTTTCTCCTTCTATGTATGAGGCTACAATCACAACTACAATTTATCAAAGTACACCGAATGATCTCAAATAATTCCTTTTACTTGGCTATTCAGAGAAACGGAAGGTTGATTTATTTTTCAAAGGGTCAAGGACTTGAGTCGGATCCAGGCGCACTAATTATCATTACAAAACATTTTCTATTCCAGGGATGCAATGCAATAACTAAGCAATCTTCCAGTCTTGTGATTAGTGTTGGTGGACTTCCAAGACGACACAATTGTTTTAAACTTGCATGATATCAGTAAAAAGCCAGAACCCAATTACTGATTCAAAGCTGGGGGACACACTATTCAGAAGATTCAACAAAGAGGCAGTGTTTATGAGCGCCACCATATTTGTGTGGGAATAAAAAAAAGGGGCAGACAGATGCCCTGGAAGAATCAATTTCTGCTTTCTTGCTATGTGGAATGTCATAAACTTATGGACTGCCTTCAACAGAAATGTGCAGGGTTTTCATTTTCTTACTGGGAGATACTGTAACTATGTTATTCAGCTCCACAGTAAGCACCATCTAAAGCAAAGCTCAAAATAATAAAATGAAGTCAAAGGCCCTGCAGGCAATGCTGAAACTTTGGAATAAAACAATCATTATGGAGAAACACATCAAACAGTGTTGAGAAGCGAAGACGATGAAGAATTTGCCTTTGCTGTGGGAATTAAGATCTAACTGAAAAAAAAAAATTATACATATATTTATATATAGATATTGTTTTTCTTTGGAAACATGCCTGACATATAGTTTTTTTGACAGTCAACTTAAAACTTGAGGTCTTCTGCCTCATTTCTGAACACAAACATTCTACAGCACTATTTGTATTGTACATAATGTTTCAGCTGCAGTATGACTGTTTTCAAACTGAAGTATATAATGAAACCAATTTAAGTGACTATATTGTTTGACAATTGTTACACTATACCTGAATAGTACCATCAGTAATTAGTTTTTTGTGAATAACACCTTCAAAATGATAAAATACCTTAATCTCATCATGACTATCCTTTATCGTGTTTACTGTAGCTTGAAGAAATACATTGTTGTATAGATCTATAGAGAGTGTTTATTGTACCTTGAAGAAAGTCATGGTTGCTCCATCCTTCACCACACCATACTCAATCTTGGTCTGCTTAGCGATGTCATCGGCTGAGTCCACAGGCGAGTCCATTCTCTCCACAGTGAGAAAGGCTGCTAGATTAGCAGTGTACGAGGATATGATGATGAGGGTGAAGAACCACCAGATCCCCCCGATGATCCTGGTGGACAGGGCTTTGGGCATCAGTTCTGAGCCTGAAAACAACACAATCAGAGAGAGACTATGAAGCAATTATCTAGATAAATGTGTACCTGCCAACACTGTAACCATATTAAACAAATGCAGGAAACAGGATCGCTTGCGTTTCTGTTAATTAGCCTGCAAATGTGTTTGGCAGTGCCACTGCAGTTGATCAAGGCACTGTTAGCGATGAAACAGAAAATGAAGCCAGTTTGGCAGTTTAGCTAAACTGTAAGCTAAAAACTCAGCATGGGCACATCAGATCAGTAAACTGTGTGTCTCAGGCTCCTTTAGTAGGTACAACAAATGTTTTCAGCTCATGTAAGCATTTTAATTTGACCTTAATAACTAAACCAGCTCCCTATGTACTCATTAAGTTATTCATTTAGATATATCTTGTAATGAATTATACAATTGCGTGTGAATGTCTTGAAGCTGGAATTAGTCTTGATAAACCAGAAGACATATCCTATGTATCTCAAACTGTTAGACTGGAAACAGTTTCCTGTCATTTCATAGCTGATCACGTTAACCAGATGTACACAATAATATCTTTTGTAAACAACTCATCACAGTCCAGAAGGATATAAATAAAGACATGGAACAGAGCCAGACTGACGGTACACCTCGACATCAGCCTTGACTTTCAGGGGTCCTCTGCCGAGTAATACTATGTTGTCAAGGGCTCACTGACTGGTGTTAAAGTTACTTTATATCTCATCTTTGACAAGCTTTAAAATACCCTTGCGCTCTGTGCACTCTTTTACTTTCGTGAGAAGATTTATGAGGGCAATTCTAAAGAGTAACAAGCCCACAGACGGGGGGGGGGGCAGATTGGTCCGCTCTTTAACCTCTTCTACCAAATTTGATTGGATATGTCCTTTGTGGTTTGACAAAGACTCTCATGGTTACAGACAAGGGAAGACAGTTGTATCTCTTAATTCACTATGACTTCACAATGGGGAAGATCAAGATGCATTCTATGGTTGCACAAAAAATCAATTGAAGCGAGGGGTAACTCAATTGAATTCCAGACTATAAAGTGCTGTTGTCAGCAGGGAACAGTATATGCGGCATCAGAGGACTAATACATATAAAAAGCAGATCAGTCATGTGGTGCCAGGGAAATAAAATGGTGTCAATATGCCGTGCATTCTTTTGACATATATTGTAAACTAAGGAAATAAACGTTTCAGGGAGGCGGCACTGATACTATTTCCGTAACCCAAACATCACATCCATCTCCCTGACTGCTGCACTGCTCATTCACATTAATGCAGTAAATAGATGCCTCAAAGAAAGTCTATACATAGAATACACAAAACAATGAAGGTTAGGTTTCTTTGTGGGATTTGTGTTAAAAATAGAGCTTTTTAATATTGTGACTAGGTAAATAAATGTACCATTAATCACAAATAATACAGCTTTATTATGCCATGTTGTTTGAATAAAGAGAGCTCCACAAGATCACTGATAAATACTTTTATAGACAAAAACTGTTGGATGAACAACATGGCTAAGCTAATGACTGCTGGTACACACTTTGCATTACCTGACAGCTATGAGAGTGGTTATTCTTCTCCTATAACTATCAGAAAAATAAGCATATTCCTTTTAAAAGGCACTCTAGAGCATACAAAATATTAGCTGGAAACGGAAAACAAGCTATGAAGTATATTGTTAGCTCCATATGCTAATGAGCTTCTCCACCAAAACAACTATAAACATCCTGCAGTAAGTAACAACCATTGCTTTGATGCCATGTTGTACATTTTTTAAAATAATACAGTGTTAGTCAGTTTATAAAAACCTAATCTCTCATGAGATGGCTTTGAAAGGCATTTGACAACATCTTAACTCAATGTCCACTTGCTTCAAAGTGCTTTAGGGAGCTTCTTTTTTGAATATATAAAAAGTAGACTTGAATTTAAATGGAAATATTCCTTTAGTTAAGGTCTAATTTTAAAACGATACTGTTGCATTTTTAACACCTTTTAGATCTGTTCAGTCGTATGATATATACATCAATGTGAAACATGATTTTGGGCAATTTCTATTTCAGTTTATTTCAACAGTTTTTCTCTGTAATGCTTAAATTAACCAGCATTAGGCGAAACTCCATCGTTTTTTAAACCTTATGTCGACTGAGGCTGCATTTAAATTCACTATTTTTGTGTGTTAGTACTTTTTGCGACATTTGTGAATACTGACTATATTCAATAAGGAAGTTAATGTATAATGGAGACACAATGTCTATATCCATGCAAATACATTTCTTAAAAAAAGCCCATAAAGAAGTCACTGTGACACTGCAATTCTCCCTTTTGAATACATTCACAGATGATCTTGTACCTAATGATGCTTTTGAATCAGTCAGTCTGACAAAGAAGCAATCTGTTCCCTGTAGATTTAGAAGTGCATTGTTCCACAGAAGATGTCCTGGTTTCCTGTAGTGTTCTCCCCCACTAGCAATGCCTCACCGTACCACGAGAGAGCTACACCTTCCCATGAGAATGATTACATGCACTTAGCATTCCCTGTGTGAAGTCATAGCACAAAAAACCCTCTGTCCTTGCTTGAGGCTTCTACTTGTTGTTAATTGCTTTTAAATAATGACAGTTGTGAATGGAAATGTTTATTCAAAGTAAATCTTGATCTGAATCTCAAAAAGGGGCAAAGTCACAACTGCAGTTTCTCTATCAGACAACAAGTCAGCACAGATGAGCTTTTGCATCACGAACACAATGTTATGCCTCAGACCATGCGTCTTGGAAATATTGAGACGGAATATGTTCTAGAACATCAAGGCATGTGAACATTTGGAATAAGTCAACTTGTAAATCAAAGACACTTTCTAAAATTATTTTATGTGGGGAAACCAATTTACAGGAAATGATCAGACATATGTTTGTTGTGAGCAACAGCCTACTGAGACCCCCAGCAAAGCATTTGAAGTGCACAAAGTGTTTGCTTCTGCACCTCCTCATATTTTGCCTCCTTTGTCTTGGCTATGACACCTTCCTCCCACAGACAAGCTGGTAGATTTTTTTTTGGATCTCCTCAAAGGCGTCCATTTGCATTTAGATGTCAAAGAAATGGCTTCCATCTCGGCTTCTGTCACTGTTTGGCAGACAAGCGGAGGATGTCTGTTTATGTGACACACACAACATATTCCTCGCTGCTGCAGCCCAAATGGGTGTCGCCCAAAGCCAGAGTCAGTCTGTCCATTTTAAACTCTTAGAATGTAAATGTAGAGGATCATTAACAAGATCCTTTTTTCACAATACTTAGTTAAAAAAACATGTAGAAACAGTTTTTATTTTACACATTTTATTCGGTATTTAATTTGTCATTTTCGGTTCTCTAAAAATATATGATTTGCAAAACTGTACTTTTAGTATAATGTGAACCCAATTAAATAAAGAATTACAAAAAAAATCTATAATAATGAAGATAAACCTGCAACAGAACTCAAACATGAACTATAAGTTTATTTCAATATCCCAATTTAAACCTCTTTATTCAGGGAACTATAACAAAGAAAAACAATATTTTCTTCGTGTAATTGTGATTGAATAACACATTTTACTGTGCTTTAAAATGAACATTGAGATCATAGTTGAGGCAGGGACATCATTTTCTTTATCTATCAAGCATTGTGTGACACATTTGAACATAACTCCCACATTCCTGTGCTGGGACTTGTGTTTAATTGCAGTAACCTCCACATGAGTCACACTAGAGCTCAGGCTTTGACAGAGAGCCCATGATACGAATTATAATAGGGAATTCTCCCCAGTTTAGCTGGAATAATACAGACTACTAACTAGTTCATTTTGATTTGATTCCATCTTTTCCCTCCTGGCATCCTATGCAGAATGCTCCCTTAATGAATTGCTCAATGTGTTTGCTATCCTTATGGGCAAAGATCCACTACCGAGCCTCCTTGATTTGCCTTCTTACTTTGAGGTTAAGCATTGTATTACTCAGGACTCTTTCCCCCCACAGTTGACTTCATTATGTCATGTCTGGAACTTCATTAGTTTACTCTAGTCCTTTAAGCGACACCAGACAAGTGAAGGTCTATTTGTAGAATTACATCTGCAGTGGTAGCAGGTCTAGTAATAAAGATTGAACCTGTGTGCTAAAAGAAGCAGTCACTTCCTTTTTTGACTGGTTTCAAAATGTTACATTGATGTGACATTTATTTGGTAGGCTACTTGTTGGACAATGAGGCATACTGTATGGATTTTCTACAGCGAGCAAGTCGTACAGCGCTAAAATATCACACCAGACCGCTCTAGCGTGGCTGACAGCTGGCATTTGTCAGACATGTTCCTCAACTTACCCTTTGCGTCCCAACCCTTAGAAAGCTCTCGAGTAGGGCCAGTGACTGCCATATGGGAAAATAAATGCAGCAATGTTTTCCATCCTTACCTGACAATCTCTGACAAGTGCCTGGCACCTACTCTTCCCATTTTAAACAGCAGGTAGGTGACAACAGCCTTCCTTTGTCATGTACTGTAAGGCTGCGCTCTGCTGTTGTTCTTGACAGGTAAATGTCTTATGAAACAGTCAGGGAATGGAAATCATGGAGCTTGTCAGTTAAAGAGGCAGAGAAAAGGGAGCAAGCGGGAAAGTGAGGTGGTGTGACAGTATTGTTTCTGACAGGGAAGAGGATGTGTGTGCCGCAGTACCTTGTTGCATTAAGGAGCCGACTCCAAACCAGAAGCTGTTGAAGAGGGTGAAGTTGTTCTCCACCACATCTGATCCTGGGTTGCAGGGATGGGCGTCGTACCATTCATACGGGCTAAACCTGGGAACGAGACAGGAAGTTGGAAAGCAGTTTTTGGGTTATACCTTCTGAAAGAAATGCAAGAATAACATCTTACAGTATGTATGCTTCTGGAGCACCATTCCTTCCTCAAGAAAAACCTCAAAAACAGAATCATATTAGCATGAGAGCTATTTTGAGAGTTACTGCTATTTTACCGTTCCATCTGTGGTTTCCAGTAACAACACTGAGGTATTGAGGAGTTCAGTAGAGCAGCAAAAATAGGTTGTGAAACTAATTTGTTCCTCTTACCGGCTGAATATATAACCTTGAGAAACTTTAGAAAGTTGTTCTTGGCAAACAATTTCCTATTGCATGTAAATACAAAGCAACACAAGCATTCATTGAGAGATTGTGGCAACCTAATAAACTACAACACTCATTATCATAGATATAATATCTGGCTCTTTAGCTGGTACACACTATGTTCACCAGTTAGTGGTTAGTCTGCTGTTGGGTGCGGGGCAGTCATAGAATGGTCGGTTTGTTCACTGAAAACAGCTGCCTGCTGCTGCTGGAAACACAATTGATGGGAGCAGTAGAAGTGAACCCCTCACATTAAAGCTATGGACCATGAACACCAAAACAAATGCATTCAAAAGCTGAGGGGAAGATGGTTTTCTGTGGTGTCACCTCAATGAGCAACAGCCTTTGTATTTAACATAATCTTCTAATCCAATGTTAGCGTCAACAACATTGTGTCTTTAAGTGTGTACGGTCATAACCTTGTGAACAATTTAACCACCCACCCATACTGTACATTCGAAGATGTTGACATGCACTATTTTCACTGGTCAAAACTATTATTATATTTATATACATTTGTTTTATATTCAGGATTGTGGGAAACGGTATTTTGATCTCTCTGTCTGTGCACACACACTGAAATATTGACAATAAAGTTTACTTTGACTTTCGACATAGACCTGAGTGGCTTTACATCCAGCTGTTGCATGCTTGCTGTTTCTATACTTGTATATTTGTATACTCAAAATGTGAAAACAAAAATAATCCTTTTTAAAAAGGCTCCTTTTGGTTTCTTCTTATAAGGCAGTGTATGTTACCTCGGAAAGGTTTCATGGTTGACAATAAAGTTGACTTTGACTTGACAAATCAAAACATGTTCGAATCAACTGGTCCTGGTTTAGCTTCCCCTCAGAAACCCTTTCAACTATGTCTTCATGGTTTTCTTGAAGATGACCAAAGGCCCAATAATCCAATTCTTCAGAGGAAATACAAGGTCATGTTTGAGACATTAAAGACTCCTTTCTAAAGTCACATGAAACCATAAGGTCTCTCGATATCTCTGCCATTTAGTTTGACACCTGCGGGAAATGATTGTATTGCAGATGTCAGAGGCAGATTCTGTCACTACTTTCCCCATTTTAAAATATTTTTTTTTTATGTGGAAAATCTGTTTTTCAATTACAGTACAATTGGATCCCTTAAACTCCAGAAAGTATCCCCCTGGGAACATGGGACATCTCTATCTTTGATGAGAAGTGGTTATGGCAGAAAATAAATATAACAGATAAGTAACTAAATGGTCCACAAAACTGGAACCCACAATGGTGAATCCTCGAGTGCACATTCTCACTTAGAAGACCGTAGAAATCCCTAGAAAGATTTAATCAGCTGAAATGTATATTGTGAGAGATAGATACACTTCAATCTAATTACATGCTGCAGGAATAGTTTTGAATATGTCAGCAGTATTTTTAATCAGACACCAAACAGGACTGATGGTTAATCATAAAACTGCCTTAAAATGGAGTCTATTCCAGCCATCATTCAAGCATTTCTCCTCTCAGCTTCGCACTCAGACATCAGAACTGATGGACAAAAACAGTGGGTGCTTTTGCTAAATGTTTTATATCTTGTGCATTTAAAAAAACAAAACATACTCATTAGTGTTACTTGTCGCAATCATTCCCTTCAGAACATTTGCAGGCATCGGAAAGTTATTTGGCAGCTGTTGGTTCTCCCTGCTATTTCAATTAATTCCTTCAGTCTCATTTACTTTTACTTCAATGTTGAATTGAAAGCTGTGGTCAAAAAATATGTGAAAGTAAAGAGGCATGGAAAGACTCTCTGTGCATTTCAAACTGGTCAAAAACTGCACTCAAAGAGGCCTCAAATCCAGAAAGAGAAAAGTGTATCTTCACTACTTTGAGGCCATTTTCTACACAGACAATTTACCACTGCTGATTTAATACTCCTGGTTCTTTGCTAATTTCTAGAAAGGCTGTGTCGGCAATTAGAGCCACAGGCTTGCGTCAGACTGCCCTGCTGAGTAACCTCTTGGAAAACTGTCTGCTAAACAACACTATTAGCTGTGGACCGCGAGTACAGTGTGCACATACAATTTGAATCCCACTTCCTGTATTCCTTCGAAATCTGGTGTCAATTTCGGGACAGTGTGACGCTAGCCTTAGCCAATAACCAATCAAGGTAACCCCCCCACCTTATCACCTGAATCTCCTCCTAGAGCACCATTATTTTAACCAAACATTTCTCAGAGGGGCGTGGGGAGGGGCTCCTTATTTTCATCTGAAGTAACAGACACAGAATCAGCACTTTGGAAACAGGGCTGAAACAGAGGGGATTATGGGATGCTGCAATGATCTGTTTGGTGTTTCGAGCAAAACACTTCAGACATGTTTGTATATATCTGAGACCTATAATATATTGATGAAAAACAGTATAATAGGGGACCTTTAATATTTTGAATGCGGCTCGTTTCATGGTGTGGAATTAGTACTTGAACTAATTAGGTTTTTCTCAGTCTCCACCAATGGTTTTGAATACTTTTTGGTAACCTTCTACTGTAGATATAAGCATGTAACTCAATGCAGGCCTTTTTTTCTATGAAGTTTATACAAACAAGACCTCCGCTCCCTGTCCATGGAACTGAAATATGCGTAGGATAAATACAATGACAGACGAGACAGAAAATATGATTATCCAGGCTTAATTTACTGCCAAATGCCATATATACCAAATAGCATTCCCTTTCTTTTTATCATCCCATCTCCAAAATAAAAATGACTACTGCCACTGTTGGCGTTCCATTTTTCTGAGCTGCTCGGTCATTCAGTTAGCTTGTTGAACACGTCTGCATCCACAGGCTCTGAAATGTTCTGTAGTACTGCATAGCAGGCTTTCTGTGTCCACAGCTTACTGGACAACCTTTGGAGTATATCAGAGCAGCTCAAATCACATTCCCAGCCAAAATCCGACAGCTTGTTAAACAGTGGCATACTTTGCACAATTTTCCTGGTCAAAAAAAGAGGGGAGAGCGTCTAAACAGGATTTTGAAAAGAGTCCAGTGGAGAATGCGCCTCAAAACATGATTATTATGATGAAGCGTTGCTTTTCAAAGCCAAAGTGTTTTCTGCCTAGCATTGTTGTTAATGCCTTGCCAACGTTTAAAAGTAACCTTTTCTTTGTTCAACAATGTGTGTTTTATGCTCACACAATGCACTTTCAGGGATGCAGCTTTTCAGCCATCTAGGACGGCCTCCAAAAAATCTGATGCAACAGTTAAAGATGATTTTGTACTTATGTGAAGCCACTCCAGAATTATTTTGGTCTCGCAAAACAACGAATGGGGATAGAGGAGTGCAGCTGTTTGCTCTCAAGTCAACTCCTTTCAGCGCCCCTTTCTAGAACTTCCTAAAGCACCACTTTGAATGAAAAGCAGCAGGAAACGCTCACAATAATACTTACAGGATATTCAACATCTTCATGCCAAAAATAATTTACAAGTGAGATACTTTTCAGCCAATCAAACAGCTAATCTCCATCCATCTTTTTATGACTTATTACTGCCATGAATGTTTATGTTCAACTATATATAGCCTCCGTCGATGTGTATACTGTTTTTCTTTGAACTGCTGAATATGATCATTAAGCCAGTATTTATTCTTTTTAAACGACCGATTAAATGTGCTTTGCCAATTCCAAAGGCATCACACGGGAAAGATGAAATTGCACACTGAGGGAAACTTTCCAACTCAATTGAAGTTTTCTTTTTTTTCCTATTTCTCCTCTACGTGCTGGGTTGTAGAGAGCCCATGCAGAGATTAATACCTTGATCACTACCTAGCAGCTAGCACCATATGAGAAATGGGTGTACTCGAATCCCTGCAATGAGGAAATTACTCATTGAGAGACCTGAAGGAGAACTGTATGCAGGACTTATAGGACTAACAGTATGTAACCTGCGGACTTACCTGGCAATGACAAAGAGGACACAGCTAACACCCAGGTAGGCCAGGAGGATGTAGACCCAGATGTCAGGAGTCATGGGGTTCAGGAAGGAGAAGAAGCCGTTGTTGGTGGCATTGGGTTTGCGATACAGGATGCTGATTCCAGTGTTCATGAAGGGCTTGGTGAAGTCGATGACCTTTTCACGCATATAGGTGATGGTGAAGGGAGCCACTGCCAAGTCTGCCCTCTGTAGAGAAACACAAAAAACAGAACATGTAATTATGATATTGACAGATTGATTAATTTGACCAAGCTGGAAGCGTTACTCAAGAGGTTGTAAAGACAGTTCGGAAATGATTGTTCCAGACTGAAATACTACCACCAACTACATTTTGGTTTAGACATTCATGGTTACAGCATATGAATCCTCATGGTGATCCCCTGACTTTTCCTGTAGCGCCATTGTGAGGTTAACATTTGTGGCTTTAAGTAAAATGTCTCAACAACTGTACCAGGAGATCAGATTTAAATTATATCAATCAATCAATGTTTTTTTATATAGCCCAATATCACAAATGTTACATTTATCTCAGTGGACTTCACAGTTTGTACAGAATATCAGTATGACAATACGACACCCTCTGTCCTTAGACCCTCACATCGTACAAGGAAAAACTTCCAGAGAAAACCCACAGTTTAAAGGGGAACATGGGAGAAACCTCAGGGAGAGCAACAGAGGAGGGATCCCTCTCCCAATTCTAGTTTGTCAAAAACCCAAAACTAATAACACCCTTACCTTCTACAATAAGATGGTAAACATTATTCATACTGCATGTTAGCATTGTCCTTATGAGCAGGTTAGTATGCAAGCTCAAAAATATCTTTGAACTCTATTAGAAGGACACTAACGCCCCGTCTACACTACAGGCATCAACAAATCTTGAAGCTGGGCGTGTCTGAGGCTTGGCAATTTCTCGCGACCAACAACCAATCAGGAATCTCCCGCCCACCCCCGACATACAAAGCAATAGCAATGTTAAAACGAAGTAAACTGGATATAAAATCCCCAAACAGACGAAAACCTACCAGTTTCACCCACTGTCTCTGCCACCTCCCTCCATGCCTCGCTCCTCCGGTTTGTATCCCGGTAGATGAACAGAGACTGATCATACAGCACCGGGTGATTCACTACCGCTATAATGAATCTTCCCTCAATTTCTTTGAATATGAGGAAAAGACCTGCGTAGTCTCTCCCAGCATACACACGGTTTGATTGGCTAGCGCTTGTACTGTCAGATTTGCATACGCGGGATTTGATTGGCTGATGCCAAGCATCGAGCATCAAAAGTTGAACATTGTTCAACTTTTGATGCCGATAGATGCTGGTGATGCTTGCAAAGCCATGCCATGCTCCCCACAATGCAGTTCGGCGAAGTTTAAAAATCTTCTACGTCACCCCATTCAAATAAATGGGCGAAGCGTTGAAAGCATTTTTCGATGCCTGTAGTGTAGATGGGCCGTAATAGGGTGCTCGCCTGTTTTATGTAAAAATTGGGTTTAGGCCACAATATACTGCAGTGTCATTCCCTGTAAAACGTATAATATGAATAATGTATTCAATGATGCACAATGGAGAAACATTGTTCCAGTGTATCAGATACAGTTCCATCCACAAAGACATCATATAGATTCAATAGAATGGCATATAACTCCATATTGCATTGGGCAATGGAGACAGCTGAGCATGACATAAGTTGCAGTCAGTATTATATACGTTTGACTGCATATTCAGAAGGCTACCATTTAAATTGGCAGCGCCCACCACTCCCCGGCACCCGGCTGGACAGGAGGTTAATGAAACCAGCTGCTCGGTGCATGCTCGGATACCTCTATCCACCAAGAACTGACGCAACTCACAAAGGAAGGCTTTCTTCTCTTCCTATGCTGAGCAACTACAGAGGAACAGGGCTTGTTCAAAAAACAGTTCATCGTGTGGTATTTCAAACAAACACAATGAGAGACCATGTTTTGGAGCTTTATGCAAAACTTTACATTGAACACCAGATAATATCAGTTTCTTGACTTCGATACTCAGGTTTTTAGACCCTAAGGCTGTTCTTAACACGAGTTAAACTTTCCCTGTGGCTCAGACAGCATTAAATCAATGCGATAACTACCGCATGACGGTATACGAAGGTGAGACATACTTGCCCTCCTTGAGACCTGAAAACCACCGGGGGGGGGGGGTGCTAGTGGATCAACGGAGCTGTTAGATTAACATTAATGTGCTTATTGTAGTTCTGAGTGCAATGCCTTGCGGCCTGTAGCACCATCCTCTTGATGGAGCATATGTGTGGGCTGGACCAGGAAAGGAGTGAACAGAGGGTCGAGTTGTCCATTGTGACTATCTAGTTGCGCACGCTACTAACGAGACGCGCTACCATGGAAACCAAACAATGGTGTAGCTGTAATAAAGTCAGAGTGGAAACAATCGTGAGTAAATCTGATTTTGTCAGAAATCGGGAGAAATGCGGGAGAAATATGACCCCGGGAGGAAACCGGGAGAGGGCTATGAAATCGGGAGTCTCCCGCGAAAATCGGGAGGGTTGGCAAGTATGAGGTGAGAAAGAAAACATTCCCTCTTTGAGTGTGGCGCTGCGGCTTATGTTCTCCTGTGGTCAGCACCATGGTAGCTAAATACACGGGGGCTTCTGAAGAGACGGAAAGATGGGAAAACCGATGCATCCTGCAGTTCGTCTGCTGTCTCTCTTAAACTATTCAAATGTGTACATCACATACTGCTCCCTCTGTTCTCTGCTGCCAACTGCAGCTTTGAACCGACCTGCCACTCAGGCGGAAGATCAACCAGCATGTGATTCCAGACATCCCTACGGTGGGCTAATATACATGCCGCATGTGCTTGTTCTGCCGTGTGCTTAGACACACAAACTGGGCACAAGCAAGATAACCTGATAGTGCCCTGCTGCGTGCCACATGGCTCGGTGTTATCTGGGTCTGCAGATGGTGGGCTTAGTGGTGTTCTCCCTCCGGTCATACTCACCTGATGATAGCCTGAAGGATTCATAAAATAACAATTGATCCATGTCTGTACACATTGAGGATACCTGAGCATTATTACAGGGAGCTTTTTCTTTGTTTCTGTGTTTCTCATCAACAGTGTGGAAATTAGGGCATTTGATCCCGCTCCAAACATACCATAATGACATACCGCTTACAACCAAGGCTTTTGATCCCTTGACTAACATTTACACACTATGCTACACAATGTGTGTGCATTTCACAGCTTGCTCACAATGCTAATTTGCAGATTGTATCGGTAAAGGGCTCCTGTGGTACTCCTTTCTTAGTTTTATACAAACATTTAGGACTGTTACAAAAGCAGATGTTTGCTTCAGTAGAATGTGAAGCATTTCAAGACTTTTCTGAACAATGATACGGGCTCCACAAAAAGTGTTGCTATTAGAATATTGAGTGAATATAAACATTTCTAATTTCCCTTTTGAACATGCATTTACCAAACCAATGTTCCACACTTCTATGCACAACATTGAGGATGCCTCTTACAGAATAGTCTGAAATCAAGAGGTACAAAGGGCTAATGATGATGACATGCACTGTAATCAAGAAGTGTTTGCTTTGCATAAGCACAACATTCAGAGCTTGATGGCCTAGAGCTGGGATTTACTTAGCGGCGCTTTGACAGGCGGGACAGACATGTTTGCTGTTGAGGCAGTTTAACTTGAGCCCTCTCTGCTACGGGTCAGCCGCTCTCACCACAAGGTCATCCTGCTGCCTCGGATCAAAATCACACATTCAGATGCTTTCCTTGTTTACCAGGAAATTCTTAAAAACAAAATATGAGAGATTTATCTGAATACACCTCAATTGGTTTAGCATTTCATATATAGACTTCTACAGTGTCTATCTATGTGAGACAACGATGATGTGGGCTGACTACAACCTTCCAGTGTGTCTGTCGAAGCAAATAATGACAATTGCCATGACGGAAACTAATGATGTGCTAAGCACGCTATTAACATTTGCATCAAAGCGTGATTAAAGTGATCATCTATTGTGACTAAATCAAGTTTAACAAGACCTGTTGCATCACTTAGCACCTTCCAAACAATGCCCTTTGGCACTGCAGTGAGCTTTGTGACTACGCACAGGGAAATAAGGGCTTCATGTTACACAATGCTAAATTGTTGCATTGCAGTTCCTCATTCAGAAGCATCAGTTACATGGGAAGTAAATCACATTATAGTATCAGAAAATACAGGCAAGCAACACTTAAGGAGCTTTACTCTATTTTTGTCACATCACTTTCTCTATGTGACAAATCTTGATGAACTATAGAGAAGAATGAAGGCGTACACCTGATTTTAATAAACTCGAGTCTTGTTCTGTTAAATAAATGTCAGTCAGCAGTTTTGTGTAATTCTGTAATGCAGCTGTGATTTATACGAGTGCACGATGTGAGCTGATATCAGGAATGCATGAGCGTTGTGTTTCAGCCCCGCTTTATCAGCTAAAACCCCCGCTTTCTACCTCGGACCTTATCTGACTCTGTGACCCATTTCTAAGTAAAGGCACTGATCCTCAGTAACTGTTATAAATCTTATCTGTCTGTATTACAACGAAGGGGCAATGGGTTTTTAAGAGGTTAATAGAAAGATGTTATGAATACAAATTGAACAGATAACGATTGACAGCAGCCATTTACTTTTCCCTTCTCTCTCTTTGTATCATGTACACACAATACACATAGCATTTATTTTCAGAGTTTGGAAGAAAAATAGCCTAAACTTTATTCGCTCGGTGAAGGAGATGTCGTAGTTTGAGTTTTATTCCCAAGAAATCTGTAGACATACTGGCCTCATATTATTACAGGGTCAGATCTCTGGAGCTTGAGTTAAAGTTTATATTTCAGGTCTGCTGAATCAAGATCAGCTTATACACACCGGCAGGGGTAAGGAAGCCACTAGAGCACAAAATGGAACCCACTAAAAATCCACAAAGAAGACATCATGCGCCCTTGGTCATGCGATAAGGCGCAGTAAAAGCAATGACTACCAGTATAGATTCTAATATTCACTTTTGCTGCTATTTACAAAGGCAGTAGACTTGGGACAAAGAAGCTAAAATATATTATGCACATTCTCAAAATTATAATAATAATATAATAATAATAATAATAATTTCTCGCTTCACATGGGTTTGGATGTTTGTGTTCAGCATTGTTCATATTTACAGTAAGTCAGTCTAGAGGTCTCAATTACCAGATGCTACATCTTCCCAATCACATGTAAACCATATGTCACAAACAACAACAACAACAACAACAACAACAGGGAAATAAAAGGAAATGTCTTAGGCTGTAAGATTATGAACATATTCTCTCAACCTGGCGTATGTGCTGCTTAATGATGGAGTCATGCATCCCTTTTTGGTGCCAGAATTCTCTGCCTTTAGTAATCCATTTGTTCCCCTGAAGGTTATTGTTATTAACACGGATCTAGCAAAAAGCTTGGACGGAGAAATAAAGTGCTGCAGTGGGAGACACCTTCCCTAACCCTTTCAGCACCAAGCCATTGACTCCTGCCATACGATTCCCTGCACTAAATGCCACTTAAGCTATTACAAGTTTTCAGCTGAGTACAGCGCTGACCCGATGGGGCTGAGGACAAAGAGGGAACACTGACAGGGACACTTAAGAAATGCCAGCAGAGAATTGCCACCATCGCTTCGATGTGAGGCTGTTTCATGGCCGCTGAGGCTCTGAGTTTGACACAGACAGCTGCGATTGCCCACTATCCCTCAGCAGGATGATTGCGCTGTGTTCTCCTCCACTCAATATATGCAGGATCACATGCTCATCCTGGATTTCTTTCTTATCCCGCTGAAGGAAGTGGTTCGTCTCACTGAATGGCATCAACACACTTGGAACTTTTAGGCAACCTTGACATAATTGTGCCATAAATGTAACTGACAGCTTTGCAGGCTCTTCCTGACTTGCACTCAATCATAACTGTATCACTGGCGACACGGAGGACATAACCTTCAATTCTGTTCAATGGCATGCTTTTGTAAGTTTGTGTGATGCTGTAAAACATTTTACAGCAAATGAAGCTGCATACATAAAAAAAAAATTAAGGAATAGTTTCACATGAACACTCATTAGCGTTCTTGCTGGGATATTATTATTAAGATTCATATATCTTATGTTTGCACAATATGTAACTGGAGCCAGCAGTTCATTAGCTTAGCTTAGCATAAAGCCTGGACATGGCCCTCTTTAACAACGTACACAAACTATAGCACAATAACACGATGCTTCATTTGTTAAGTCACAACTGAGACCAAAATGTACGTTTTAAGTTAATTATATCCTGGTCGTTTACTTACTATTGCTCAGAGTTTAGGCCAACACACTGCTGGCTTTAGCTACATATGTAGCCTACCATACAAATGGCATCTATCTTTTTATCTGGTACCTTGCAAGTAAACAAAAAAGCCTATCGCGAAACTATAGTAAGTGAATATAGGTCAAATGTGAAGCAGACAATATGAAATACAACTTACATGCTCTATCAGTTCCCTTATCATGCCATTCCATTGGCCCTTTTCATCCTGAGAGCCATATCTCCCATCAGGAACCAGGCGGATCTCATACGTGAAGCCCAGGACGATGGCCAGCTCCTTGAGCAAGTCGATGCAGTATCCTTCGAATCTATCGTTCCCAACCAGCGCCTTGTCAGACTTCTTAAGCATGACGTATGGCTCCTCCTGCACAGACCCAAAAGATCAAATGAAACGCAATGGCGAGGTCAGCTTTTTCAATTTGTTTCAGCACATGCACTTAATTGAAGCAAAGTGATCTGAGCTGATGAGTCGCTGTTGCATTTAACAGGCAGTGACAGCAGATTCAAGTTCAGCGTGCAGGTACAGGGAGTGTTACAATATGAAAGGCGGCTGAGCTTTTCCTACATCGATTTGTATTAACCAAAAGAGACCTAAGCTAATTTAATACTCTAATGTAAATTAAGTGCCTTGCTATGGTGATGGTAATGCATACAGAATGAATGTTTATACAGGGAGCTTACTAAACCTACACTGCTGTATGTTATAATAATAATAACAATAATAGATTTATTTTGTTAGCGCTTTTACAGGTGCTCAAAGACGCTTTACAGATATAGTGAAAAGAAAAGAAAGGAACAACAAATAAATATATAGTTCAAGTTAAAGTCAAATAATACAAAAACAATCACACATTAAAAGCCATATTGAAGAGGTGACTTTTTGTGTCTTGTTTGTATGTTGACCTATATAACTGGTGCACAGGTCGGTTTGTTTTATAGTCGGGTTGCTGACGCTCTTTACTGGTCTAATATCCTGCCTGGCTGCTCATAATAAAAGCCCTTATAAAAGCTTGATTAGAAACAGAATGCAGCGGTGAAATGGAACATGCCCACGACGTCGCCTACATCAATTGACACCAATCTCCGAGGGAGAGCGGCCGAGCTGAGGCCTGCAGTGACAATGACTTACACGGAGAAGCTCATAAATGATTTCCATTATAAACTGCCTGTTACCATTTCCCTGTCAGATAAACTTGCATGTCCCACTGTGCATCTCATAACATGTTGGGCCATTTATGCAAGGCTGTAATATAATTCATTGCCTCGAATAGCCAGATGTATAATTTAGAAACTAAGTACAGAAACAGCGTAATTGATTCTCTAGTGTTTGTTGGCAATATAAAGATATTAGTCAGAGGAAAGAGGGATTTATTTTTCATGGAGGTGATTAGTGTATATGGGTCAACACTATAACATCATGTGCTAGTGTCATGTTTACACAGTTGCACTATTTGTTAAATTGCCTCTACAGTACAATGCATAAACTGACATTAAGCAGGAGATAGTTTATTCCATACATTCTGGAAAAAATGCCTAAAAACACACAGTGATGATAGGCCTACACATCCTTAATTATTAGCCAACTAAATATGAAGCCACTTGGACACCACAATGTCGATGGTATTTTAAATAAATAATATGTTATGAATATTTGATGACAATGTATTTAGAGAGCAAGTGCTTCGCCGCATACTTTGCTAAAGTTGTCCAATTAACTTGATCAAAAAGTTTGCATGTGAAGGGAAAAAGTCATTACCATCTGTTTCTAGCCCTCCAATTCTTGCTATTCCCCAAGGTTTGGACTCAAATCAAAGTGTTTATACCAGTTTCACCCTCAGTCGCAGCATGGGCGTGCATCACAGAACGAGGAGGGAGGCGGGCTTGTGAAGAGACATTACAGGCAATGGAGTGCAAACAATTAATGTAAGGGGGAAAACACATTAAGAGCCTTAATCTCTTCGACAAAGTTATCACTATAAAGCTGTCAGACGTCTTGTTCATGCATCACTGGAATCAGTTTGATGCAATGTCATTACACTAAGAGGGGAGATTGATATTAAAGTTTAAACTCGCTTCTGCAATTTGAAAGTAGGCAATTTCTATCATCTTAAACTAATGATTCCAAACAAAATAGGAAAAATCGAGGCACATGTCAAAACTCAAATGCACTTGAGACAAAAGGGATCCAAGACATTTTAAGTAAACGTGAAATGTGACTAATAACGTTATTCGTCCCACAGAGGGGACATGTACAAACACTTGAACTACAGTACTGGGGGAGAAACATTACCACCACTCTTACTACAACATAAAAGCAGCCAATACTACAACTACCTAGTGCAATAGTTCAACATTAGAGCACTTTAAACCTTGTTCAATGTCTAGTTTTAAAGCCCAAATTAACATAGATGGCACCTGATAGGCATTAATTATGCTCTCCCTTGCCCTTACTCATAATTACAGCCTTGTGGTCCAATGTAGGCATAATGATAGTGTTTATTGTTGTGGCTTGTATATCTGTTCTGAAAAGGTGCAGGGGGGGGGACATCTGTGTCAGCACCTCTCTGATAGCTCCACAAAGACCCCAGCATCCATTGACAGTGTTAAGTACATACAACTAGGGATCTACAAATGAATGCAGTGTCGAGCGAAGGGAAGGGATCAGAGAGTTCTCTCTGTCTGCACATGTAATTATTGCAGTCTCAGGAATAGTTTGTTCTGTATTTCTGACTCCTTTCTGCCAGGCCTGCTCATTTAACATTCCTGATAATTGTAGTTACTGTTGCTAATGCTGTCAAAGCTCCCTGCTCTCCCACGGCATACTTAAGCAGTTAATGATGAGGGCATACTCAACATTTCAAACTATCAGTGATATTTTCCAGACGATGAACCCTTTATTTTGAACTAAAGCATTCCCTTCTGATAACAAGCTGAAATGAAAACTATCTCTAGCTTTTTTTAACTGTAGTTAGCAAGCTAAATAAGCTAACGCTCCATTAGGTGGTTGAAAGCTCTGTTTTGGTATAGAAAAACAAAGAAAAACAGCTTACTACCGTCTCAATTCCTTGAATACTGAGTAATATCACTCTGACTACAGCCATGTGCGCTATACTATGTGGGGGAAATACTAGGTTTGACAGGCCTGCTGTGCAAAGCTACTGTTGTGGGATACGATTAGGGGAATAACTGCTTAATGAGATCTCAGTTATAATACAGTAATACAATGTTAAATCCTACATTTTTTTGCTAAGTTTAGATATCACAAGTATCATGTGTGTGCACACTTCTATAAAATGTTGCAATACATTTATTACATAATGTAACATGGCTGATGCTTACAATTTAGTATGTACTGTGGCGGCTGTACTATCTGGAAGGAGGCATGAAGGTTATGATATGTTTTACGCTACACGGGTTACCTACCAGGATGGTGGTGATAACGAGGGATCGGTTAGCCAGGGAATCGGTGATGTTCATCCCTTTTCGCTTCGGCAGTTCTGTGATGTTAAGACCTCCCGACACACTCCACTTCCCCACCTGCAGAAGATGAAAAAGGTGTAGCTCAGTGTTCTGTGGGTGTTGGTGGACTGTGACCCCAGCCCCCCCCCCCATGCTTAACAGTCTCCCACATTAGTGCCTAGTTGAACACTTCTCCAGCAGCATAAGGTGATTGGCTGTGTCACCTTTATCTCAGCAGGCCAAGGTGTTTTTGAGAGCAGAGGTTAGTTATGTGTGTTTCTGGAGGGAAAAAAAGGGTTATGGGGGTAGGCATGGCAACAAACCACAGATGCCAAAATAATTTGTTGTTGAAATTATAGACTAAACATATTTTTATAACAATGAAAAACTGTATTTTGCAATGAAATCCCAAAGTAGACACGATTCTCATAACATGCAAATCGACTGAATTGAATAAAGTAGACAAATGATATATTATGATAATGATTCATGATATTATATAAGTTGAAGGTGAGAGTTTCTGACGTATTGTAAATGTGAATACAAAAGAAATATAAAGCTGAACAATAGCACTAAAACAAACTCAATGTAACCCTCCTATTGTCTTCGTTTCCCCCCCTTACTTTGGTGTTCGCAAATTTGACCAGTCCTGTTTTAACTGCTATTACATTAACACAAAAACCATTAATCATCACCGCATTTCATTTAACACCCTTTTAAACTGTACATATTGTATCAGACTACTGGTATACATGAAAAACTGCAGTCAATATACAAAGAATAGACACTGAACATGTATTGCGTGTGCCTGGTGTGATCTATGTGGGGGGGATGGGCACATAAGAGCGGGAAATGTATCAAATTGTTCTGTGTGTATGTGTGTCAGGTGTGATTCACATGGGGGGATGGGCACATAAGGGGAGGGGGGACACATCTAGAGCATGTGTGTGTGTGTGTGTGTGTGTGTGTGTGTGTGTCTGTGTTTTATCTGATCCGGATGGTTACTAATTCCTTTTCTTTATGGCTAGCTGGCGGTGTTACAAAGTTGACTAAATCATCCAAAATGCAATGAAAGTGGTGATCAGCAATTTGATATGTTCAAATGTCTACTGTGAAGGATATCATAAAGCCTTAATGCAATCGAATGTAAAACCAAAAAGTTATGATTGATGAAAGTAGTAAATCGGTCAGATTTGACCCGAAGACAACAGGAGGGTTAAATACAATTAGAAAGTATTGTAAAAAGGTTACAGTTCATTTGAATGAAGGCACAGCATGCTGGTTGGATCACACAGTAAATGTAATCTTGCTCTGCAGTGAGATGAGCGAAGAGATTTCAACAAATAAAAGGATTTACGGCCTGTCCACACTACAGCGTCGACAGCTTCAATCTGCCCATTCACTTTGAATGGGGTGACGTCACGTTGCCTCGCTTTTTCGCCGAAGTGAATTGTGGGTAGCATAACGGTCCGTCTCCGCCGTCTCCGGCGTCAGAAGTTGAACAATGTTCAACTTCTGACGCCGGAGACGTCGGAGTAGCCAGCGCCAGCCAATCAAATCCCGTTTCGGAAAATCTGACAGCTCAAGCTGTAGCCAATCAAACCGCGTCTAAGCTGGGAGAGATATCCCGCCGTTCATTTCTATATTTCAAAAAAAGATGGAGGAGAAACTAATTATCGCCGTAGCAAATCACCCGGTTTTGTATGACCAGACCCTCTTCACCTACCGGGATACAAACCGAAGGAACCAGGTATGGAGGGAGGTGGCAGAGACAGTGGGTGAAACTGGTAGGTTTTCGCCTGTTTGGGGAGTTTATATATATATATATTGCTCGCATAAAATCCCCGGGGGTTTTTGCTTTGTATGTCGGGGGCGGGAGATTCATGTTGTTGGTCGCGTTGCTTGAATAAAATCCCCAAGCTTCAGACACGCCCAGCTCCAAGCTTTTTTTGAAGCGGTAGTGTGGACGCTCCGTTATACATGCGAGAAGCCTGCAGGCAAAAAAACTCTGCATATTGTAGAGACACTCTGGAACATATCATTAGCACAAATAGTCCTGTGGCTGTCTGTAACAATCTCTGTTTGCATGTCGTGCCCTCCACCAAACCCTCCCCCTCCTGTTTCCTCTATTACTACAGACTGAATATTCACTTGGGTTCGTGCTTCAGGTGGATCCATTTAAAGACGTACGACCCCCCCTCAAAAAAGCATGAAAACGTCTTGTTATTGTCCTCCCTGTTGAATCCAGAAAGAGGCATATGCTCTAATTTGAAAAGCACATTAGTTACAGCTTGTCTCACAACCAAAGAGGACTCCAGGAGAGAGATTTAAAAATGTCTGAATGTTTTCCGCTTTGCAATTTTTTTTCCTAATTGTACCCAATTACAATTAGCTCAATTCATTAAACATGATAGACAATAGACCTGATTCAAAAGTTATTTACTCATGCAACCATATGGAGAGCATTGCATTTATTTCCCCCTCCCTAGCATGCTGGCTTCGACTGAAAGTGGCTCTCTGCAAACCTTTTCATAATTCCTGCACACGCTCAAACTTGGGCTAATATTCAATTACAATGGATTAGTTGAGAAAATTCCACCTCTTAACCGGCTCAAACAGTTAAAGCCGATTCCACGGATATATACAAGAGAAGAAAAAAAAAATCCAGCAATCCGCAGAACGCTTCTGGATCAACGCTAACACACTTGAGCATGGGATTTGTCAAAGAGACATTAGAAGATGCTAATGTGACATCAAATACTTTTGCAAGATGAATGTACTTCAACTTAATTGACCACACGCAGGACAAGATGCCAGGGAAATGCAGAAGAACAATTTCAAAGCTGCATTTTTACAAGCTTTATTCCTGCACAGAAGGGTTAGCTGAAAAGCCCCTGTTATTATATAGTGTTGAGCCTTTAGGGAGTACTTGAGGAAGTCATAATGGGACTTATCCCTATTTGATGTATTCATAATGTATGAAAGCCCTCTTGTAGAGAAAAGCTGTAATAGTCCAGAGGGCACTTTGCCTTCCAGTATAATAAAATAATTTCTACATAACAAACCTTTTAGTTTGTTATTTCTCTCCTGCTTTTTTTTGTAAAACATGTTTATACAGCTCATTACCACCAAACAGCATTTTGGGCATCATCTCAAATTATCATTAAGAGAGGCTGCAATTAACACCCTAATGTGTACCCTAATCCAATTTGCTTTATGATCCACTAACTTATGCTTATGTTGAAACAGCCAATTTGCTTCCTTGTTAGGAGGTAAATGACACTGTCACATTTGCATTATCTGTTCCGCACCAGGAGGAAAATCTGAAATGTGTGAGATCAATAATCCATTAAATTACTTTCACGGTATAGGCCTAGCCATCACAGCTCTATATCTGTTTGCACTGCATGTGGTGACACATTGTTGTTGTGGTTTTATTACATTTTAGCAAAGAATGCATTGAAAACAAAGACAAAATGTACCTTTTCAAGTCCTTCCTCCTTCAGACTGATGATGTCCAGGTCGAAGTCTGTACGCAGACCCGATGACTTGTTGAACGACAGTCTCCCCGTCAAACCATCCCAGTGTGACTGAAAAATAACATACATATTTATACTTATATTCAAACACACTCATTTAGTATGTACGTGTACCCAATATGTTGTCCCATCTACTCTCTTGTACAATTATGTACACAATTAATAATTTAGTAGTTTTTCTATTGCAATGGAAAAAGAGCTACTAAATAAGCAGAGAAAACACACATCGCGATGAAACACTACCACACCCTTTATCTTTTAATGTGAGTACATTCAGACGCATGCACACACACAGATCAAAAGTACAAACACAAACCATACAGGCTGCATTTCCTTTTTTTAAATTACATTTTACATCTCAATGCCGCCAACGCATTTTCCCTCCAGACCTTTTGCTTGATTCCCCATGAGGGGGAGAAACACAAAACTGCCCCCTATTACAAATCCCTGATACCCGCAACTTCCACATGTGTGTTTATAATTATATTTGAGTAGCACTTGAAATGTTTGGCTCTATGAAACCTGATGTACTTATATGATTCTGTTTTCTTCAAGGTTGTGTCGACCTGGTCGAACGTACGTATTGTAAGTCGCTTTGGATAAAAGCGTCAGCTAAATGCAATGTAATGTAATAAGCAAACACAAGACAGTATGCTAATAGCCTCTTTCAGCTAACTCTCTGACCTGTATCTTTTTGTTGTGTTTTAGTTAAGTCTTAGCTTTTTTTTTTTTACAATTGTGGAGTATCAAAGAAGTCCTACTAAGATACATTGGTGTCTTATACATTTACCTTTTATTTCTAATGTGATCCCACTGAAAAAACAGACTTATTTAGTTGTCTATCGGGGTCATTTTCATTTGACTGCATCTCTAAAAAGTCTCGGTACAATAGAGTAATCAATCCTTTTGTGTGAAGTTGCACACAGATATTTAAAATCCCAAACTGTCACAACCCCTAAAGGCTACAGCTCTCACTTGTCGTCAGTGTAGCTTGCCAAAAGTGTGTTGTAAGAAGATTGAAGCTTAAAGTTGAAATGTGTGGCACTCTTTTTTCAAACCCCCTCATACCTCAATCCATCTGGCCTATCGCCACTGAGGTGGGTGGCATGTTCAAACGGCTCTATTTCAGAGAGTGACATAAATGCCTCGGCCTCATCACATCCGAAGGGCCAATCTGACCTTCAGAACATGTCTGATGCCTGTCGAGAAGACTGTAAATCAGCCATGATTTGTGCTTTTATAACCAAACACAGTATGTTTTATAAGGCCATCGCTATACTGTTTACTTGGCTTTAGTTGTGATCTCTAAAAGTCACTAACTGCTTGTTGGGATATAACAATGCTCACTTTTTCGACCGACCCTTTTGTAGTACGCAGACACAAGACAATGTTTGTTGTGCATTGTAATGTTGAAGGCCTTTGCAATATTGTGTTTGCACATTTGGCAGACAAGCAGGAATTGTCACTACAACTCAGAAACAAACAATAGTATTCACGGATGTAGTGCCTGTTGGAGATGTGTAGCTGAGAGGAACAATACAATGGATTTCATAGTTAAATGTTACACAATGAATTCTTGGTATTATAGGAATGGTTGAAAATGAGCACATAGTGAGTTGAATTAGACAATTGTAGTATCTCAGCTTCCAACATTGTGCTCACAATAATTATGTTGATGTCATTACAAATGGATGGTTGCACATTGTAACACTAGTTCTATAAATAAAGCAGTGAAACAGATATTTAAACTGTAGGATTAACCCCTTATTATTGCCAAACCACATACCACTACTTTCACATCATCTCTAAAGGCTCCTGCACCAAACACTTCCTTCAGTTCACCACAGACCCTCTCAATCCTTTTCTAAATCTTCAAAGAGTAAAGAAGCATCAGGGTTTGTTTGCTAGAGAACGTTAATTGGCACTGGACAAACACTGTGGTCAAACCATGCCATCTAACACCTCATTGCTCTTAGTGCGCTGCCCTGAAACCGCTAGCACCAGTCTTTAATCCCCACGGTTCAGGACTTTCTTGGGACTTTCCTTTTCAGTGCGTTGCGCTTAAAAGGAATGCACAGTGACTGGCATCATTGCTCCTAAACAGAAGGAGGATTCCAAACATCTATCCTACCCCTCCTATGTTTGCAGCACACAAATGAATAGTTGTTCCCTGTGGTTGAATGGTGCCACTATTTTTATATCAGAGTTTTCTTTCTCAAGGACGCTGCCTGCTGGTAAAAGAAAGCCTTGGAGGAGCCACCAACCAATGTCAAACGTCCCACTTACACACACACAATTTATTTTAAAAGATGTTAGGGGAAACAGACGATTATATATTTTCTATTTGTTTGCCCCGTTACTACCCCTGTTCACCAGAGCCAGGTCATCCTCAGCTACACCATACTTAACTCCCCACTTCCTGGTACCAAAGTGGCCACTGCTGTTATACCATGAGTTCAGGGTCACCCCGGATTGTCTTCTGTCAAGTGGATGGACCCCATGAGGAGCCACGTGCACACGTCCATTCTTCCCTTTGTACACTGGGTGAAAGGCTGATGCCAATGGACCTACAGTACAGTTTGTGACAGACGGCCCACTGCTCCCCCATCTCTCTCATTGGAGGACAATTGCAGGCCAGGCAATATCACAGTATGACAAAGGAATTATGTTTTTTGTGACATCTGCAGGTTGCCAGCCCCGGCCACAATGTTACTCTGACTTAGGCCTGGGTTCCTCTGTGGTTTAAGCATTTTCTGTTCTTTAGTGTCTTTAATATCTTGATGGAGTAGGATGCTGTGGACAGGTGAGTCAGGCTCAGGAGATCCATGGCCACACTCTAACTGTCATCACAGTATCTCTGAAGAGCGATCCTCTCTGGAAATCAGCCCAAAACTGGTCAAAAGTATCCTGAAATTGGTGGGTTTGCTGTCCATTAGGGCGTGTCAAGCACTGACACAGACCGACCTAACCTGTACATGGAGGCTATCATTGAACAAAGCTGTTGTTACTGAACTGAAGTTCATTTTTATAATGTTAAGTGGTTGAGGAAAGAATTGACAGCCCCCTCATTCTGATTGCTTTGTGGGTATATGCAGATTTGTTTTGCAGTTACCATGAATAAGGGGTCCCTGCTTTGAGGGATGCCTCGATAATACAGTAGATCTGAGGTTAATGGTTTCATTTAGCAATAATAGGGGCAATTCTAAAAGGCAAAAACACATTTTTGATAAAGCTTATAGTGATAAAATAAAATAATCTAATAAGAGTGCATTGACGTAGATACGTTGTGCCTCTTCACCTATACATTTTAGTTCTTACTCTTTCACTTAAATCCTAAAAACTTAGATCTTATATTTAAAACTTTATCCAAACCTTTCCCCCCTTTGACCTCTCGAGGTATATTAGAGGGTAACAGGTTGCAGAGAACGCCTAGCCCGGCCGGGGAGTGTGGAACGTAGTCACTGACCCACTCCTACCTCTGACAAATTCAGGTTCCAATGGGGACCTTTTTCCCTGTGTGTGCCTCTCCACCTCTGTTTCCTACTTCTTACTTGCTACCCTTTTCCCTCAACCTATCCTAAGGGAGTGCATGTATGTAGACACGTTAGTTTAGCTGCTATAGGCTTGGACTGTTGAGGATTCCTACCATTTAAAAACCACACCCAGGATAAATACAAATGATGTTGTTGTTTGAACAATTCAAGATACGAACCGTAGCATCTCTGCACACCCTTAATCTGCCATTCTGCACAGGCTTGTTTGTGCATTCTGACGCCCTGTCAGACTCTCATGTTAGATTAAATAAGAGCCGATTACACTAGTTGTGCTTTCAAAAGGTTACACTATGTGCTTTCTGGAAAATAGGTTATGAATGCAGGGAATTTATAAAGCTGACAACAACACTGCTTTGATGTGTCTATCAAGGCTTGGTTTGCTTTGTGTGTGGATGTGATTGATTTGCTCGGTAAATATCTCAAATGACAACAAAGTCCTCTCTCCACTCCTATTGTCGCGTTCACCAATCAGTATGCTCGAATATCAATAACACTTCATTCAAATAGCAACAGGCCAAAGGTCTCCCATCACCTCTTTGATGAAACTCATGAAGCGCCCTCCAAATCTCCAGGGTTTGTGGCGGTGGCACTGCAGCGAGTTTACGGTCATCTGTGGCGCGTGCTGGTACGAGACGGATACAATGTGGACTGCATCATAGGTCAGAGCCGCATCTGTCTGGAATAAGGGGTGAACATTAATTCAGCTGATGCCTGCGGAAAGACATTAATAGTTTGATCACCATCAATCTAATCTCCACACTGCTGATGAAAGATTCAAAGGAACTGTGCAGGCTTTTATAGTTCAAATTTCCTTTGATACAGATATGACATTTTTAGATGAATTATAACCCTCTGAGTCCCTAATGTTATTACATGACGGGTTTTAAAGGCCCACTTTACACAACTATACAGAATATGTCTACATATATTTATATATAAATGTATTTGCCGGCTTAATGACCGATAATGAAATCCTCTTGGCCTTATCAAACATAAGGTTTAGTACTACACACTACCAATCGCAGCTGTGGAGACATTGGTATAGTTGTCTCCTTGTAGGACACTGATTTAAATTATTCTTAACCTATGATTTTTTTGTTATGCTGTGTATGTAATTTATGAATGTCTTGTCTTTTATCTGGACCCTGAGTCTGTAATAAAGTTTTGATTGATTGATTGATATACAGTACATCCGTAATTGAATAAGTGAAATCATTTACGACCTCATTTATAAGGTTTAGTACTACACATTTATCAACACCTGGTGTTTTGTTTTTTTGTTTTATTGACTATACTGTAGTTCTTGTCTTTTTCTCATATTAAAATGAACATGTCTCTGTAGCACCTTTTATACATACTGTATTTACTGTTGGAAATCCTTTGTATTTCGCCAGCCTATGTATTTAACAGATCTTTTAAAAATGTAATTCAAAAATAATCAAGCTAATTGTTTAATAGATCAATAGGATTTGCACTTTAATGGACATATGACACAAACATGTTTATTTAAGTTAGACCATTTATCGCAAATCGGCAATACATTTTCTGGCAGTATGTCATAAAAACAACACCGCTTTAATCCTCAACATCCTGTAGGTATGGATCTTACAAGAGATGGAAGCTTTCCATTATATTTCTGTCTTGATGTCATAATTACATTTCTGCAGGTAGTTCATTCATGCTATGAACCCCTTCCTCTATTTCATCCTAAACCGGCTGTTCTGAGTCTAATACCTGAACCGAGTGGGCCATTGGAGTAAGCCCAAATCCCTCTCATTTTCCTATAGTTGCATACTTTGTCCATTATAAACTATCCATTTGAGAACGAATGGCTGTAAAGGGATGCACCTGGTCTGAAACAGTATAATTGGAGAATGGCACATCCAAAGGATAATTGGTGCAAATTGGCTTAATGAATGTTCTCTGCAGTATCATATCATTCCCATCTGAACCATTGAAAGTGTACAAGATATGATTTGTGATTTTCTTGCAAATATCTGACTCTAGTTTTAAGTTTAGGGATTCAAGCAGCAGGTTTTAGCTCGAATAATAGGAGATAAACATGTGTGGAGCCTCAGGTACTCCTTGGTGGTCTTTAAAACACCCAAATGGTTAACTGTGTTTGTAAAGTATATACCCTGTATACATAATTGATGTATAATCTTGACTGATTTGTCCTCTAACCTCATGATCAACAAGACATTTTTTTCTAAAATAATCATGAGTAAATAGGAGACATTGTGGTCCACACAACCCCAGGGTAATATGTATTTACAAGATGATGGAACCAGTCAGTACTGACGGTCATAGCACTTTTAAAATCCCTTAAAATATGCATTTTTCACATTCAAAATGTAGTCGAACTGTAGCTGAACTGCTCAAATTTGTTGACGTCTTTCATATATTAATAATTTGATACTACATGATAAACATCCTGAAGTCGTCAACTGTTTGTGTGTCAAATGGTGTTCTTAAATGGTTACTCTAAAGCAGGGGTGTCAAACTAAATTTCATCGGGGGCCGGTTGTAACTATATAAATATATAATATATATATATTCCACCCTCTGGAACTCACTACCCCAATCCATCAGAGATTCTTCCTCCCTCACAGCATTCAAAACATCACTCAAAACCCACCTGTTCAACACTGCATTCAACCACTGACCACCCCCCTCCCCCCTATTTTCTGTTTTATTTATCTCTTTTTGTATTTCTTTATCTCTTTTTTTTTCCTTTTTTTTCTTTTCTTCTTAATTCTTTGTCAAAGCGTCTTTGAGTTTCATGAAAAGCGCTATAAAAGTCCCATGTACTATTATTATTATTATATAAAATAATGTATTATATATTACATTATTGCCTCTGAATTGGATTATTATTAGATAGGATAATAACTTAGTAATTAACTACGTCTGAAAGCAGAAGTCCAGGGCACATAATTGCAAGTCTCATCAGTGGCATGTCACAAAACGAGATGCATTGTGGGACATGTAGTTTATGGGCAACCTGCATCTGTAAAGTGGCATGTAACCGTATAATAAACGTATTATATTCTTTGCACGCTCTTGCGGGACCGCATAAAATGAAGTCACGGGCCGGATTTGGCCCCGGGGCCTTGAGTTTGAGACCCCTGCTCTAAAGTATATAGTGTTATAATTGCATTTGTAACCGTTTTTTTAGGGTTGCGGAGAGGATTAAAACCATGTGTTACCATGGAAAAAGCCATTATAGGCACATATATAAATACATAGATTTGGTCCCTTTAAATATTTACATTTTTGTGACTGGCTTTAAATGGAACAAGAACACAGAAGTAATAAAACATACCGTCATGACCCCCTCCAGCAGGCCTGAGTCAGGTTTATGTGGAAGCTGCCTTTCCATCGACCATTTCTCCATAATGGATGCGACCAGGGGATTATCCACGTTCATGATGCGGAAGCCGGTCATGTTGACACCACAGTATCGATATGGCTCCAGGTCAATGGCCATCAGGTCCTTTTTGAGAGACAAAAGTCATAAAAGATGGATTCTCATTTAATCTGCCAGCTCTCAACATCCCTGTTTTAAGTATTCATCCTGAATGCTTTCTCCTCACATGAAAAGAGAATGATGCAGCTGCTGATTAAAGTGATGCTATTTTAAGACCAAATAGAGTAAAAGGAAGGAGACACACATTAGTTTTCAATGTCAAATTAAGGGGTTTCAGTGAGTGTCTGGAAGCAGTGTCTGTTATATAAAGGAAATCTGAAAAGCTCTGATGGAGGAGTCGCTTTTCTGCTGGCAGAGCCTTTAAGAATTGACAAATTGTTATTTGTTCTGTGCCTACTTAATAATGAATTACACTGCCTAAACTACAAGCTTGTGATATGTTTTTATCTAGTTTAAATCTGTCTGTCAAATATTTTGTATAGGTGCATATTTGTTTATCGGAAAATGTAAAATGTTATAATGAAATGAGACAAATCAAAGAACAAGAAAAGAAGCTAAGTTAATTCTGTTGTACCACATTAATAATCTGCTAGTATTCCCTTGGCAACATCCAAGCAGAAAGCAATTCAATTTGAGCTGCTGTAATTTCTAGGGCAGCCATTGTAGCTGAAGTGTGAAGTCACATGTTGACACATGTCGTGCTGGAATAGGCCAGGGGGCTTGGAAAAGACATTTGGATGAACATAGATATTTCATTAGCACCCTGTGGGGTTAGTGCTGGGGGAACGAGAGCGTGTAAGACACTTACTGAATAACGGTCGCCGCAAGTCACTGAAATATTTCTCCTGTTTGTATTTATTTCCCACTAGAACGCAGTACAATACTCCCTTTTGTGAACAGAGATGAAAGAAAATCACTGTTGTTCTATATGACATTCAAAATGCTCAGAAAAGTAGATTGGGTTACAAGTTTCTCAGCTTTGAAGCTAATAATACAAACGAAGTATAATTCGTCTTTTGTGACATCCTCCTTTCTGTTAGGGCATTTTGGGATGTCAAAAAATGGTCTTGTTCCAATTATAAGTTCACTTTTTGCAGTACTGCTTTGTAAACACATTTATAGCACACACGCAACACAATCCTACAGCAGCATTACACTAAACATTTGACCCAGAGACCCTGCAGTACATGTCTCCATACAGAAGTGTTATGGAGGTGACATAACAAAGTTCTTAGCTTCAGGTTCTCATAGATAGCTATGACAGACTCATTTTAAAGGACATGGAAGTTATTACCACGTACCACTGCTATGGCTTGTTCACGCTCGAATAAGTCGGCATTTCCTTCACCTCTTAAGATAAAACACAGACATCAGTGGATTCCATCGAGAGGAAATTGTAATGCCATGTATCGTTGGGAGTATTCATCATGTTGGATCAAATCAAGCCGCCGGGTATAATCTCCTTAATGGTGTGTCTATCTATATGGCAGCTTATTGCAGCATTAGATATATAGCACACTGTGATTCCACAAAGATATCCAGCCTACACGTGGAAAATATTGTCGAAATAAATACCAGTTAATCCTCTTGTAAATAAATGCACCTATGATCTGCAACTGTAAAACCTTGACACATAAATCAGACCCCTGGCAATTTAAGTGATATTTGTTCTCCCTATTAAAGCAATAGACATGTTACAGTGCAATAACCTATGGCTGCACGATGTCGCTGCCACGCTGTCAAGTGTGAAAGATGACACACATCATGCCTGGACCTTTGTGTCATATTGCATCATCACAACAGGCTGGACGTGTGTGCGCATGAGAAGCACGAACACAGACGATAACACAGAGCGAAAGGAACAGCACACATCACGCTGGTATTCATTTCCATTCAGTCCGTTTGTCTCCAGATAGTCTGCGTCTCAGTGACGAGCAGCGAGGCTCCCTGCTGGGTCTGCTTGTATAAGTCAGACAAGATCATTTTATAGCGGAGTGAAAACACAAAATGCTCCAGATGGGAATGAATCTGCTATTCCCCATGTTAGGTTGTGTTAAGTATATTTGATTGTGAAAAAGACACCAGCCTTAGGTTGGCTTGAAGAAATGTGTTCAAGGAATCTCATGAATTATGAATACCAACGACTTTTGAGACTTAATATCTAATGATTTCTCTGCATAATAACTATGTCTATAAATGTACCTTCTCTGATGAATAAACGTTTTATTTTGTATTTAATTAAATCAGATAATTCTGTAGTCGTGTGGTTCTGTTTTGTTGAACAGAACCACACGTTTATACTAAGCTTACCCTCGATGACATGGTGCAGACAAAATATACAATTATATACAATTCAACAGCAACACAACCTGCTGCGAACAAAAGGACCATAATGATTCATCAACAACAACTAAACATTATTTTCCATTCATGAAGGTCGATTTTGTGCCACCATTTTTTTTCACATTTTGAATATTTTCCTTTTGAATATAGAATGAATCGTATTTCATTTAAGATCTCACAGAGGAACTTGGAACCACTTTCAATTTAAAATCTCAAAGCTGTTGTTTTTTATGCTGCCATCTCAAAGACTTCTGTTGTATTCACTGTACAGCAGTGTGTGTGTTTACTACAGCATACTGAAGACTGCATTATGCCGACAGCTTGTCAAACTAAATTGATATTATGGACTTGGTCCAAACCCCATTGGCAATTAGCCACTATTCATCAAAAACTCAAGCGGCGGGAGATGAGAACAAACGAGGCTCTTATTTGCATTAACAAGCATGGTACATTACCAGAGTGGTGAAGATATAGGAGTAATACTCCGTCATCATCCCCATGGTCTGCGCCTGCAAGGATACAGAGACAGTGGATGGGAAAGAGAGAGTGAATGAAAAGAGGCAGGTTGGAGAAAATTATATATTTGTTCACGTCTGAGCATTTTAAAATCAACAGCACAGTGATCACAAATAATACCAAAAAGACGTCATCGGTAATGGAACAAATTGAAATGTTTTAATGAACATATTGACTAACACGCTGTTCATTTTGTGGGCGAGTTTCTGCTACTCCTTGTCAGGATTTGTGCACCATATGTGGTCCACAGAATAGCAACAGTACTCAATGCTTTTCTATGCATATAAATGGTTTGCAATGGCTTGGTTCACGTGACGTTATTCCAGCAGAGAAGAGTGCCTTCAATCAAAAGAGCTCGGTAATCTCTGCCTCATATCCCAACACTCCATCACTGCCACTTGTTTCACTCAATCTACATTCAAAGGCACCGTGTTCCCATCGCGGCTGTTCTGCGCATTTAATTGTACCATCTGTCGTGAAAACAAAAGCCAAGGTTATGTAAATAAGATGCTTATGTGGAGGCAAATGTACTTCTCCATCCATAGACATCAAGCCAAATACATGACATTGAAACTTGGTGTCACGCTTTGTATTGTTAGCAGGAGTTTTCTTTCATTAAAGTAATCTCTCCACCGCCGCCAGATGGATTTATAGTGTGACACAATGTGATGGTGTCAACATTTCTATTTGTTAACGTCTTGTTTTTGGAAACCTATCCCTTTTCCCACCAATACTGAAGCAGGGTCACAGCAGAAAATACAAACACACAATATAAAAAGTATTTTAAAATACACCAGGGACATGTTTCTCATTTTCTCCCATCCAATCTGAGAGGAAGTATAACCTGACAGAGGCGCTGAGCCTGTCATGGTGACGACAGGACTCGACATATTGTTAGGAATCATAATATGAGAAGTGAAATATTCCAAGGGCATTATGCAGTACTTGGTATTTAAACCCTGTTAAAATAGAGACTCTCCTTCATACATATGCTGTACCAGTCAAGTCACATTGCACATGAATTCAATTATGTCCTTTCGATGCTACTTATATTCTTGGAAAGGACTAACCTTTTTGTAAATCTGTAAATGGAGCAGTCTGCATATTGTAAGATACCGAGGTTGAGTAGCTCGTACATTTTGTCACTTATGCAAATCAAACGTAGGTGATAATCTTTCCAAGTTTGCCTTTAGTAAGACTTTTGTTTTAGGTTTTGACGCACGACTTATGGAGGGATCATGCTTTGTGTGCTGCAATATTGATAGTGGCTTGACTCTTAGTATATACTTCGATTGTAATCTTTATTTTTGTAAGCAGCAATGGCTAAAGTTCCCTCCATGTACGAATATTTCGGGTTTTGTGCTGAAGGTGGGATTAGACAAGCTAATTTAAAATGTCAACTGTGGCTTTTGAAACTTTTGATGGCTATTCATTATTATTTTGTCATTTTACAAAATGAAGATTAACTGAGAAATTGATGAGTAATTAAACCAGGAATGGATGTATACCTCATTTGCACCCTAAACTTTATTGAGGCTATTATAGCCAGGATACAGCCCTGCTGCCACAAAAAGCAGTTCAACTCATACAAAATAAAAACTTATTTTTCCTTATTTCTACTGTCAGTAGCTTTTTTGCCTTCAAACCTTTTCTCACTTCTTGTCTCTAAAGGACACAGATTCCTTGGTGCGAGATGTGCAGACTGGCCACAAGCGAATATGTGTCAACTTAGATCTCAATAACTTGAGAGGAATGAGTTATTTAAACAACTAGGGAGCGGATGATGCATTAGGTACACATGTTAACAGAAACTGACAGCACACAAAGTGGAGGAGGGGCTGATCCGGCAGGCTGTTCCTGACATCTATAAAGCATTAGACCACCTACACAATCTCTACCCTATGCATCACACTGACAGTTCTTTGTTGACTGACAATCATTTCATGTTTGAATTATGAAGCGTCTTGGATGTTATGCCTCTATGTGGGATGTATATTCAAGTCTGCCTAACAATGTATTCCTGGAAAGTGTCGGTAATGTTTGTAACAAGTCATTTTAATTGTATTCTATGCTCTATCTGTTATACAATTGTCAAATGTTAAACTGGATTACCCCGATAGTAAGAACTACACAATACAGTTTTGCAGTCTATAAGACAAAGCCTGTTTCAACAGATGCGAAAGAACAGCTGTGCTTCAAAATTCATCACAGCTCGACATGAAACTATTACATGTTTCTCTGCCAAACATCAAAAGAGGATTGCTCACTCCTGGAAGTAAACAAATACACAACGATCGATTGGTGAGTTCCAGATTTGATATCTACTGCTGGACACTACTGCAGTTTCTTTTAAGTTGTTCTGACAGCAGAATGTCACTGCTGCTTCATTATAACCGACGCACCTTCTGCTGCTTCTCTGCTGCCAAGTTCTTGGCAAATCAAAGCCTCTGTATTTCCATCACAACACATCTGATCAACTGAATGCTAAAGAATCAACGGGTGCTGGTGACAGCTGTGTGGAAGAGAACCACATGCTTTCAGATTCCTGCTCCATGCTCAGATCTGACATCAGAAGGCCTGTGCCACACTCTCTCACTAACCTGCTTGAGGACTTGTGCAGCCATTTGGTGACTGCAGTCGAAGATGATACGAAACTCCCGGCTCCGCTTCATTTCCTTAAGAAGGGGTCTCGTGTCCTGTGAGTCGAGAGGAAGCTGACGGATCTTTAGCCTAATGTTGTACCTGGACGGGGCCATTATAAGCTCCTGTAGTCTTATAAGCCCTAAAGAAAAGAAACGGTAGAAATAAATACATGGCAGCAGAGAAAAGGCAGTCCCATTTATTGTTTTGATCTGTTGTTTTTAAGTAGGTAAGAGTTCTTTCCCAATGAGAATACAGTAACATTGCAATAGTGTGTTCACCTGTGCTGTCATCATATACGACGGTGGCTGTTTTCCATTTGAGAGACTGCACCAGGTCCAGGATAGCATAGCTTAGTGAAGAATAATCCGGGTATAAATTGGCATAAAAGCTGTCCCTGTTGTCCAGGGGGTGATGTTTCCATCGCACCTGGACGTGCGGCACTTCCAACGCATTGCAGATTGACTGCACGGCGTTTGACGATGAACTATGTGAGGGCCCAAAGATTGCCACTACACCTAGAGAAAGCTGGTCACAAGCTACAGAAGAGTAAGAGAAGAGAGCTTGAGAAAGGAAGTGTGGTACATCTTCAGTCAATGGTCCATGTACTAAATATTTCTAAATACTTAAAGTATGTTCCACTAAATACCACAGTTTGATTTATGCCATTGAACAATTATAATTATCAAACTAATACGAACATGTTGTTGCTTTTGACTGAACAGATTCCTTTTCTCACTGTAATCACAATCCGTGAATAGACCGAGAACAAGCCACTCACCTTTTCTCGATGCCTCAAAACTGTCGTAGATATTAATCCTCTGTATGTCATATGTTAATGTTGTGTTTGGCAACAAAGTCCTGTTTCTGTTAATGCTATTGACAGCAAATTTAAAGGCAAGCTCCTCCGCACTAACAAGTGAAACGGGTCCATCGGTCTGTTCGAAAATCCCACCTGAAAGACAAAAGAGAGAGACTCGTAAGGCCCCTGACTGTCGGCATCAGACATTATCACAAGCAGAAGGAGAAACGCGGTCACATTTCCAGGTGGCACTAAATGGAGAAAATATTTACAGACATTTGCACTTAGGACTCGCAGTGAGAGGGCAGCGCACATAACACAAGGTATTACATTTACTCGGCAAACAAGGAGCAACCCTCTGTCTTTTCAGAGAAGCCTGTAAAAGCCAATATCAGCTTTGAAGTCTCGAGCTCTAGTGGATTTCAGGAGTGTGTGTGTTTCTGTCTCTTCCATCAGGGCAGTATCATATCTCAGGCTCTTGTCTTTCCATTAAGGTGTCCTTTTATTTTACCAGAAAACATATTGGTGGAGCAGATGACTGGACTAGGGCACTCTTCTTTTACATAAGATTCAAAGGAAAGTATTTTTCCATTTATTTAGATGGACTGTGCTACTGCATAAAACTTACAAAACCTGTTTATGAGCACATCAAAGTGGACTGTCACTTTGGTGGTGTGTATCAAACCAACGGTGCTGCACTACATCCTGCGGTGTAATGGAAAAAATACTTTTTTTTTCAATAGTTTGCCAGATTAAAATGTGTCATTATGATTTTGGGCCTGCAAGGCAATACAACTTAAAGAATCAGCATACAGTATTTTCGTGAATTTAGTTAACTTAAAGGCGACTTCACGGATATTATAGACCAGTTTATTTGGAAATAACCACTCAATTTATGAAAATGGGCGTATCATTTTCTCTGTAGCTCTTAAAGGACCTTTCTAAATGATGATGTCATGGCGTTGGAGACTTACAGTTTATATTTAAATCACAGAAAGCCTGTGTTACATGGCACTGGAAATAAGTGCATTCATTTAACGCACAGTGGTTAACGAAATGATACAATTGCTTGCATATTTGGGAACGTAAGATACAATGTTTAAGGAACTTATGACGTCTCTTTTCATATACTGAATTGTACTTTTGAAGAAAACAGTAGAGAAAACGAACTAATTCATTTATTTTGTCTATTTGTTGAACATTAAAAACTAAAAGTCAGAGTTTTTGTCTTCATATCCTCGGCATCTTACATTAAAATAGCTAGTACACCTCCCACCAGCTGGGTGTAATTGGTAAAGTAACAAACATTGAATACTGACAATTTAAGACATCAAAGTCCCTGTGTAGCTCAGCCGCCGCCTTTAAGAAGACAGTTTAGACAGAATCTTAAAAGATGCCTGTAGGAACTTCCGCTTATGGAGAGACTGGCTCCTCCACCTCCTCTCTCATCGTGTTATCTATTTCAATAACAAAGCAAAATGTCTCTGCCATCAGTGAAAAAGTTCACTGTCAACAAAAGTTGCAAATGTCTTTGCTTAAGTTTAACGTTTATGGCCATCATTTGAGCTATAAAGACAACCTTTTGAAACCTGTTTTCCCTGCACATTTCCAAACACTAAATCACTGCGGTAGATATCTTTAAAGCTATTTCTGCATCCTGTTTATTCTGATTCAGTCAGATCTCTCTTTAGGATAACCTTAAGATATCTTAATTGGAATGACACAACTCGCAAACCTCACATTCAAGATGGTTTGCTTGATAAATGGAAATGTACCAGTTCTTAGAATTGGTGCCAATTAGCTACGTGACGATGGACTTGATAGATTATTTGACTAAGGGTTTCAGAGGTTGCTTAATTTTGTCGGAAGTTAATGAGCTGTCTGTTCATTTCACTGGAATATTGATATTGTTGCCAACAGTTGGATGATTGAGATACTTCTTGAAATAATCTTTGTTGATGTATGTACATTCTAAGCAGTAACTGGATTAATATGCTTTACAATACACGACACAGGAACACATCTATAAAAATGGCTTTAATTGAATTACCCCTAATTCAATTCAAATAGCACAAAGTTATTTATCTTATCTTAGTGCTGTATTTGTGTTAATGATTCTGTTGTTCCCATGGCCTGGCACACACACACTTCCTTACAATCTGGTATTATTTCACTAATCCTGGAGAATACCTGGAGTGCTGAGCTTGGAAAAAAATAGCACCTGTGACCCTCTGATGCCCCGAACAGACCCCTAATGCCGGGATAACTGACGCACACGTCTCTGCTGCTGTAGGCAGATAGGCTGTTCCTGAAGCCAAGCTCATCTAAGTATGTATGAGTCAAAGCCTCCCTGGATGCGAGAGGACGTGATGCATAAACTGCCCGGTGGAATGCGTCACATTAAAATAAATGAATCCGTCCATGTCACGGGGAAATCTCATTAGAGTACATTAAGTAATTGCTGGAGTATATAGTCATTTGACTGTTAAGAGGATAAAATGTGCATTGCACAGAAGCACTTTAACAAATTTAATAAACAGGGGGAAACCTGCTCCTTGAGAGAAAAATCCTGTGGATAATTTGCTTTGCCCTTTTCAGAATTCTGCCATAAGTACAATAGCTTTAAAGCCTTAATGTAGAAAGAGCTCCCGCATCTCCATCGAATCAAGAATAAGCAGAAGCACAGCACAAAATGCACTCTAATGATGTACAGATTGAAATATTATGGAACATGTTTAAACGTTCCCATTCAAACCACCACCCTGAATGTTCGTTATTGCAGTGCGCGCGTGCAAATTGAGATGCATGAAATGCAGACTTGTACTTGTAAATCTCAGTCAAAAGGCTTCAAATTAGCATGTCTCCAATAGACAAGAACATAAAGGGCTCTAATTAGTCTCTAAGGTCCTACCACAATATATAAATCAGCCACTAATTGCAGCTGTTTCCATAATTCGTCCTTTGAGGACTTTGTGGATAAGCTGCATTCAAAAGGCACAGACACAGTATGTGAAGAGGGGACGACTGGAAAGTTAACTCCTACCCTGCAGAAAGTGAAACTAAAACTGAACAGAAATATTAACAGAGTAAGGGCAACTAGTAGTTGTGGTGTTATATGCAATTAAACTGTTATTCTATAGTATTGTGTACAAATGTGCAATATTAAACAAGTAAAGCTAATCATCTCTAAAACTGTCACTCCATCTTACACATTTCTTAAATAACAAATCTGCACTGATTATTTTGCCCCGAGGCTTCAGGATCTAAAGTAATAAGCCTGAGACGACATAGCTGATTTAATGTATCCTAGTGGTCTTTTAATAGTGCGTATTATAGCATGTATGAAGCTTCCTACATTTACAAATAAAGGGATGTATATGAGCAGTTGGCCATATATCTTATAAAATACTACAATGTGTTTACAGGGAGGCATGTGGCGCAGTGGTCTAGTGCGTTGGTGTTCGGATCAGGGGAGCACAGGTTCAAACCCCACTGCAGTCAGCATGTCGTTGTGTCCCTGGGCACTGGACACTTCACCCCAAATTGCTCCTGTGGGGATTGCCCACAGTATTGAGTATGTAAGTATAACATGTAATAATAATATATATATATATAATGCTAAATAAATACAAATTTAAAAACAACTAAAACAATACATCAGGCATGCATGAGAGCCTTTGGTAATCTGTAGTCTGAAAAAAAAAGCATTTTATTGTGAAGCAGAAGCAGAGGGGTTTGCAAAGCCTAAAGGAACTGACAGAGACAAGCTGTGTCGAGTCAACAGCAGAGGTTTCACATTTCAGATATACATGCCCTTGCAAAAATCCATGTTATAGCATGAAAGCCCACATGTGTTGTTCCCGCAAACAACGTGGGCAAGTGCATAAGCCCACCCTGGCAGACTGCCTGCAAACCAGCTTAGGTTGGAATCATCTGGGTACCACAGAAAATACTTATTTTTAACATCTACTGCGTTTACAGGCTTCAAAGAGACTGATCTGAGTGACAGGATGACAGTCTGCCAAAACAAAGCAACATTAAAATAGAATAATGCCAGCGCTGTTTTTCCTATAGTTTCTCCTGTTTGACATTTACAACATTGTTATCAAGTTACAAGTCGAGAAGTAGCATTGCACCAAATACACATATATTAGGGTGGTCCTTAGTGCTACAGTATGTACATTTTCAAATTCATTTATTTTTAGCTCCAACCTCCGGAATTCGTTATGATAGTCAAGAAAACTCTCCTGGTGAATTTTATTCAAATTCCAACAACATTTACCCCTCCCTCATCAACCTTGAAGTTTAGCCTCAGTAGGGTGGTCCTTGAAATTGAAAGTGGGAAAGTCTACGCTCCAACCCCCAGAATTCATTCTATTAGTCAAGAAAACTCTCCTGGTGAATTTGTTCCACAATCTGACCTGGGCTGTCACACCAGCAGCCACGGTGCTGCAACTGAGGCTTCATTTTTATTTGTCCCGCTCATGGTACGCAAAACCAAATGTACAATAATTGCCAACAAAACATGACTCTACCAAAACACCATTGAGCGAAAAGGAGCAGGGAGAAGAATATCGTCTTATGTGACCTGCCCCTTTCTAAAAAAAACTAAATGAATACAAATAGATGGTCTGCCCTTCATAATAATTTTTTTTTCACAGCCAAACATAACAGTATCTTAGGATACTAAGAGAAACACAAAAAATACTTAACGGAAAGAAACAAAACAACAAAAAACAACAACACCAAAACATCACATGTAGCCCATAAGGAAAATAAAAGTGCAACACCCTCATCTGAGTCCTACTGGAGAAGAAGGTGGAAAGCGGTGCTTGGTAAAACTGTGCCCTTGTTCAACATGAAATCTGTGCTGTGAGGCGAGATAGGTGACCTTTCTGTTATTTTTCTGATAAGAAACAATCGGACCTTACTTGCAGTTACAGCCAGCTTCACACCAACATTGAAAATGATTGAATTACCTCACTTTCAAGCCTGTGTAACCCCCATGTTTTTCGGATTGGTTTAAAACCAGAACAGCTTTTGTATTGTTATAGTTGAAATTAACAACAAAAACAATAAAACACATTGAGATATGTTTAAAAAACACTTCATATCTACTCTCTATAAAATACCTGCTAAATTCATAGATATGC